TACTTCAATATCCCGTCCAGTGGTCGAAATATTTTTTGTTTTGTGTGCTATAAGTAATCTGTCATGACCTTCGATCGACTGGCAAAATTTGCTCACTCCCTTGCAGGGCGGTGTTGCATGGCCGCCAAATGGCGTGATCTTTTTCTCAGTTAGAGATTTGCGGTTAAATAATTTGGGGAGGGATCGGCCGCCCTGCCGGCTGTGAGTGCGGCCGTCCCGTAGCCTTCATGGTGCCCCCACATGGACTAATTAACAAACAACGGCTGTACAGATAGCGTTACCTGCAGAAAACTAAGATATCTTAATAAAGAATTTTAATTTTTTGCTTATTCAGGACTGATCCTTGAGGTCGCATCGCTTTTTCAAACTTGCCACCTCATGGTGTACCTTACGTACTTAAGTTACTTCGGCAAATTAATCAAAGTAAATATGGATAATCGGGTTGTTGTTTACGTACTGGGGACTCATAAACCCTGAATACATACACTGTCGGCCCCGGGCCAGTGTGGGGTAATTGTAAGCATGTACTGTATTTGGCTGATACATGCTGCATCAGTGCAACTAAACCCCAGCACATAAATGTCTCATCATGCTGGCAGAATCGCTACAGCCGTGATCCCCAACCAACCACGAACAGAACTTCAGACAACGCGGAATACGCGGTCTTCGATAAACACACTCCTTTGATTTTTGGTGGGTAATTGTTACACTTCACCATCTTTCCGTTGAACAATGCCGACAGAGAGCAACGGTGCAATCAGCCGAAAACGCTGATCCGTTCACACAGTGACACAGTCACTGCATGTCGTCGGCACATCGTGACGAAATCCCATGTTGAATCAATAGTAACTGAAATTTTGACATGTGCAAACACGATGCGAGAGAGCGCAAGCTTTCTCTCGTACCCTTTCTTGCTGACTGCATTAAACAATCAAGAGTAAATGTACAAGAATGTGATCTCATGGATTAAATGCATCGCGCGTTCTTGCCAACATTAATGGTTTTATCTCTCTGTTCTTTCGTGGTTCGTTCCCTCATCTAAGCCTGTTGGCCAGTCCAGTGGTAGTCATTTCTATCTAGGATAGTAACGAACAGTACCAAATAAAAATGTGTATTTACAATTTCAGCTGCAGTAATACGCGTCCAAGTCCTATGTCTATAACATTTTCTATAACATTTTCTTAAGTTTAACTGGTTTGTCTTACTTGATGGCAGGTTATCCAAGCCGCCGTGTCAACGTTTTAAGGTCATGGTTCTTCATTATCTCCGTACAAGTTTTCTGTTTTCACGTATGCCGGTATGTGGATAAAGTTGAAGTTGAACATCAGTTCGAATCTCCAGTATCAGTTTATCCGAGAAACTGATGTTGGACATTTTTGCTGATCCTGCCTTAATAATCTAAATTTATTTGCTTTCTTAAAGCTGTTGGCCAATAGCTCCAGTACAAAGGCAGGTACAGGGTTTCTTGATAACTGTGCACGAAGACGGCACAATTACCAAGAAACTCTGTACTTAACGGAAACAGAAATTTTTCCTTGGGTCAAAAGTAATTCCGAACAAATACCGTTTTTTAGTGGAAGTGGCTGCCGCCATCAGCTCATTAACGCAAAAGCGTCTGAAAAAGGGACCTGTCCAAAAATCGGGTTGCATTGTGGTCCCCAACGGTGTATTTTTTTTGTTTTCTGGACAGAAGTAGAGATTGAGTCCTGCTATGTCATTATCTTAAACTTTATCACATTTATTACAGTATTGCAGTACCTCCATTTGCCGCTACTGTACGCGGATATCTCGACTTGGATCGAACTAGTAAACAAAGCCATAAATCAGACCAAAGAACTGACTAAAACCCCAAGAACAAACTGTGAGTTGCGACGGAAGCCGAAAATCTGCCGCGTGGCGTTATACGCCGTTAAAAAGATCGCCTGTAGCTTCTGCCAAATTTCGTTTTGGAGTTTCTCTCAAATTCCTACGTTTCCGGTTGCCGAAACATCCGTACACACAGAAATCTGAAGAATACATAGCACTGCCTCATTTGTTAATTTCGAAGGGGATGACAATTATATCTTGCCTGCAACTTGCAAGGTAAGCCGTCGGTATAGTGAACCCACTGCATGTATCATTGTATGTACTCTACGAGTAGCAACACATCGCAAAACATATCAAGCATTCGGTTACCTGTAAGAATTTTTTCTAGGGCTACCACAGCATAACAATTTTTATTGCGTTTCCCACTAAAAACCAGAGTTTTTAAATTATACCATTAAAAAGCGATTCACAAGCTTTTTGATGAACCATCCAATTTGAGAACGTACTAAATAAAGCACCCAAAAAAATTCCAAAGTTGCCACCTATTTGGCATGCTGCAAAGCCGGTATGAACCGTTAACTGCACAAATTTACTAGTATTATAATGGCGCAAAGGTAACTGTCAAGTTAAACCCCTCGAAGAGGATCTCTAAAAGAAAGAACTTTTGCTGTGCAGTTCGCAAGAGCCTAATGCTATTAGAAAATACAGGCCGTCCAGAAACAAGAGCGAAAGTGTATAGAGGGAAAATACGCAGGTGCACTATGTGACTATGCACAACTCGGCTACATGTGCCTGCACGTACGTGGGCGCCTCGTAAAAATTTCTGAGTTTGCACTGTAGTTCTTGTTTCCGGATGGGTTTGTGGAAAACGTTGTTATATAGACCAGAGTAAATAAAGCTTCCGGGCGATCCTTTTCCGATCGGTTACATACCGTTTACATGTTTACAAAAAATACTGGGAGTATGGGTTGCCGTAATACCATAGAGATTCTTCATCCTTTGTTTACAGTAGTAAGTTTACCACTTGCAGTGTATATGCACCGCCTGACCCTGGAGAAAAAAGTAATGGCTTTTCTTTGCTATTTATTCTTTGGCAAACTTGGATGCGGAAGCAGCTTCCGCACAATTCCTTACCATCATATAAGTGCGTCGATCCGGGTTATTTGCATCATGGCTTCACGAAATTTTGTAGCAAAGAACCACGTTGCCCAGTACATTCTAATGTTAATCGAGTATTTTCATGTCCTGCTTGTCATCCCTTCACCATTCAGAAAAGCACAACCTTTAACATGCGCGGGGATACTCCACCGCACATTGCATATTGTGCTCACACTGGCAGCTTTTATCATGACAGCCATCTATATCTTGCGATTGCTGCTCGAGGCAGCCAAAAATGCCGGTCAGCTGAGAACAAAAATGCCAAGAACAGCTGTCAGACCTTCTCATCCGCTTTTTGGACGTTGTGCGGCCAGCCAGAGCGGTACTGGTCCTTTTAGCATTTGGCAAACAGAAGGAGGCCATAAAACTCTTGCGGCCATTGGCGAAAGATCTCATCTACAAGATAAGCCATCACCGGCATTTCCAGCCAACGACAACCATCAAAAAGATTCGCTTGTTGCTGGGCTGTTTATTCGGCACCGTGATTGTTTACGTTGCATGGGATCTGAAAAACTGGACGCGGAACTACGCACTAGACAACTTCACGGTCAACCAGTTGCTGGAGTCCAGCAAAACCTTGGTCAATTTCGGTCTGGTTATAGTGCGCTGGAAATTCTACTTGATATGGCTGACTTGTGGAATCATTCCCATAAGTATTTCCATGCTGCCGCAAATTCTCTTTCTAGGATATGGATATATCTTGGAAATCAGCATTGACCTTTACGAGTATGAACTTGCAGAGCTTAGTGCCATGACACCGACCGATATGCTTCAGCCACATAATGTTAGAAACATCAAAGAGCTTTTGCCATTACGCCGAGGCCTGCACACTTTCGCTCAGCAAATGAGTTCTGCCTTTCAATGGATTTTTCTATTCGCTTTTGTCGCTGATACCGGGACGATGCTGGGATATATGGCCGCCTCCAACATCCTGCCGCACGAACCAGTATATTATAATTTAGGTGGGGTGCTGAATCTGATATACGGTTGCTTCTTGGTGATATTTTGCGTCCCGGTGCTTGGAATCGAAGAAAAGGTCGGTGGCAGTGAATTACCGGATATTCAAAACATTCACTGAATAAAAGTGAAATGCTTGTGAATGTGCAGAACCAACGAATTAGCGAGATAATTACGACGCTTCTCAATGAAGTACTCTCGTGCTCGAAAAGGAAAGAGGTATGCTAAAGAACTGCTTTAGCTTCTGTTCGTTTCAGTGGTCTTGTTGCAAATATCATTCTGAAGATATCAGATAGGAAACGTTTGCATTACAGGGTAATGAAATTTCGGTTTATTTTGACGCGTTGCTGCTTAATGAGAAGCACCTGAAGATGAGCATTCAAGCCGGTGGCGTGATGGATCTGAACCACATGCACATCTTGAAGGTATGAATCGTGGAAAATCAATTAAGTGTTTTGGTTGTGGCGTTCCTTTCGGCGTTTAAGTTGAGCATCAATAAAAAAAGACATCCGTTCTTCTTGCAGGTCTTTGCTCTCATTGTCACTATCACTTTCGTTTCAACGGAGCTGTCTGCGGGAAGCGATCGCTTTAATAACGTTTTAAATATGAGCCAAATTGTGCAGTGTGTGTGCGGTTGACAAACAACCGGTGTCGGAATACCAATTTGTTTTTGCTATTCTTCGTATTTTACGGAGCGATTTCTTCTTGAGTTTCCATTTTTTTTCGGCTGATGCAGATCATTCAGTTTGTTACCAAATCGTTTTCCATTTTAAGGACGCATAATTTTATTACAAAATTGCATTACGCTCTTCAGTAAGTTTTTAAGACAAAATGATGCGCTTTCAACAAACCAACTGCGCAACGATCGGAAAATTATTAAATCTAAAATGAGAAGATTATTTAGTAGGCAAAAGAAGTCCTATTAAAAACAAAATTAAATTAACTTAACGCAAAAAACCCGTAGATAAATAAAACAGATCACAACAAATTAGGAGAAAAAACACATGTAAAATTGTATTAAGTTATACGTAATCACCGGTTGGCTTGGCTCACCACGATACGTTTTGCGACATTCCCTTGCGACATGATCATGGCCTCCGAATAGCCGCGCACCGCACAGCCACGGCTTGTCCAGGCTGCTTAAACGTAGTCACCTGCACCTAATCGAAAATTAGTGAGAAAAAAAATAAAGACTAAGACAGCCATTGAAAGCGAAATTAAAATTGCACATAATGCAAAAAAATTAAATAGACGCAAAAAATTAAAAAGACGTAAAATGCGATAAAAGACGAACAACTGCACACAAGTTAAAAACAAATAATTAAACAATCGAAAATTTAATGTAACCAACATAATGCAATGCCAGTCTAATACCCGAAAAAGGCTAACCATTATTTCAATTCATCGCTTAATTTCAACCCGAAAACCGCCGCTTACCTTGGTTCAACTGGGTGTTGGAATAAGTACTCTGCGACAGATTGCCCATGAACCCGGAATTCTGGCTCAGGTTATAGCTGGATCCCTGGATCATGCCCGGCGACATCCCCTGCGACATGGTCATGGCTTGCGAATAGTCGCGGTTCGGCCGTTGTGCCTCTGGTACCATCATCCAGGGCAGATACTGCTCCTGCCTCAACATATCGGGGACCAACAGACATGTAGGCATCTGCACGTTGGCACTGGCCGCTGCACGTCGGACGGCCTGCGGACTGACGGCGTGCACCGGGTCCTGCAGCGCCATGGGGTCCTTGCGGCGGGCATACTTCGGCGGCAGATGCGGGCGGTTCTCCACGCCCGGCATCCGAGCGGAACGCACTTCCAGCAGCGTGGATTCCAGATCGCGACCGGAAACGGGGGTGGGGCTTCGCAAAAGCGTAAGTGGGGGCAGCTCGACGGTGGAGGGATGCAGGCGACTGAGCGGTCCGTCCACCAGCAGACCGGACGCGGCAAAATGGTGCAGGAGACGATTCCACAAGGGTTGCTTGGACAGGATCCCGGCGTTGCCGACGATGATGAGGCCGTATCTGGCGCGAGTGAGGGCTACGTTCAGACGCCGCGGATCTTTCAGGAAACCGATGCCCTGGTGGGCGTTGGAACGCACGCATGACAAGATAATCAGGTCTTTCTCACGGCCCTGGAAGGCGTCCACGCTGGCCACTTCAGCTGTCTACACATGCGCAACAACAAATTTAGATTTTATTTCTAAGAAAATGAACGCAAACACGGGTAGTTTCGCCATCCAAAGCCTTGAAATTAAAATAAATCTGGTGTGTTCGATAGTTCCTTTCTACCAACTTTGCTTTCCAGAAAATTATATCAGTGTGAAAACGAAAGATTAAGGGAACCAGAACCAAACAGTTATAAATGTACACAGTACATTTGGCTGCCCGTCAGGATCACGCACTGAGCCACACTGAGATATTACTTCAGTTCAAATTCAACAAAAAAGGAAATAACATTGATAAAATACAAATAAATTGATAAAATACAAATTACTGTAATATCTGTAATTACTGCATCGTTGATGATCTGATGCCCGTACCTGGTACAATTTAATGGGCAAACCGGCATTCGACGACGGCATATGCTGCACCACAAACGCCCGCTGTCCCTCATACGGGGTTACAATCCCGATTCGCAAAGGATTCTGGGTGGTGATCTTCTCCACCATGGTGGCTTCCGCTCGATTGAAAAACGACATCCCCACACCGACCAACTCCTCCGCGCCGCAGATGTTGAGGAAGAACATGGGTTTTTCCACACTTGGCCAAGGAAAGTTCATGTCGGATATCAGTCGGTCCACCGTGGAGGCGTGGACACACCGTTCACCAGGGAGCCTTCGTAGAAAACGTTGGAGGGGAAGTCCGAAAGGATGGGGTTCATCCGGTATTGCACCTGCAGACGGTGCGGTCGCAGACCCAACGCGATCAACCGCTCGAACACGGAAGAACTCAAGCCGACGGCGGCGGCCTGCTTCGACATCACTACCGGACCCAGCTGGCAAGGATCGCCCACCAGTACCAGCTGACAAGCACAACAAAAAATATCAACTGGAAATTGTATATGCAACAATAAAAAAGTTGAAAACCATAAAACCGTTTTCGCGACAAGAGAACTTTTGGTTAAATCTCCACGAATCAAAAGTCGAAAATTAACAGTCAAAATTTAAATTTAAATTTAAATCTCCACGAATCAAAAGTCGAAAATTAACAGTCAAAATCAAAATTTAAAGTCGAAAATTAACAGTCAAAGTTTTCTTTCCGTTTTATGGTCAATCTTGTTAGAACGCATCGTTTATAGTAATAATTTATTGATTATAAAACTTAATAATCGCATAATCATAATAAAAATTTAACCCAAATCAAATTAGAATTAAAAATCATAAAAACGCCGAACGTATTCTTGTAAAGCGCAGATGCGTACCTGTTTACAGCCCATGGCAATGGGAATCAAGCATTCCGGCTCAATCGCCTGTGTGCTCCCATCGATAAGCACCACTTTGAACGTCATCCGGTGAAGGCGCGAATCTCCAGCACTCTACAGAAATATACAGAACAACATAAAGCAGATTCAATGGAATTCAAATTGTAAACAATAATAATATAAATTAATTATGAATCAAAATGGTTATTTATTGAGTACTTTTATTATTTACGAGTAAGTTATTATCATTAATTAAATTATTATTCATACGATAACACGTATGCTTAAGTATAGTACAGTTATTTATAATTAATAATAATAATATAAACAATTATACATCAATGTCTACTTACCACGCACGTCGTACATACTACATCCGCTCCGCTGAGCAGCTCCTGCTCGACCCGCATACGCAACGAGCGATACCGACGCTCATCCTTATCCGACAACACCCCGGTGTCCTTGATCAACTGTAGCGTCTTCAGTTGGGGATTGGTCAGCATCTGCCGATGCAGCGACAGCAAGTGCATGGGCGATTCCACCCCCTCGCGGCTCTGGGCGTAGACGCGCACCACTTTCAGGCCGGTCTTCCAGATCTCCTCCGTCAGCTGGTCCAACGCGATATTACTGGGCGCGCAGACTAGCAACTTGGCACGGGTGGCTTTTACCAGATGGTACACCAGGGTTGCCGCGGTGACGGTCTTACCGGTGCCTGGTCCGCCCTGAAAGCAACCGGAAGCCACTGTATTCCAGTATCATAATATGTATTATGTACTTCGCTTATAGTGCGATCAGATTACTACATGCAACCTCCTCCATACGATCAGCGTTAACAAACCCAAGTGACAGTATGCTTCAACACATAAAAATTCCAAACGGGTCATATATACGCGTATTTTACCAAATAAAAAAATGAATAAAGCAAAAGGAGCAATGTAGTTATACTGTACTTCATAAAAAAAATAAAAAGAAAAATGAAAACAAAAATATTAAATAAATGAAAATATTAGCGAAGAAAATATTTAATGAATAAAATGTGAATAAAATTAAACACGTTATAAATAATCCTAGTAAGTATTACTAATAAAAAATCAAAAAAATTAAATATTTATTAAAAATAAATAAACGATAATTATGAATAAATCAAACAATTCCGAAGAAAATATTAATTGTCAAGTGGCGCTGGCTAGGCGCGCACCGACCATCGACGGCGGAACAAAGCAAACCCGGATGAAGGCTTTAATGCCGAAATCTAACACACACCGCGCTTTGCGCGCGAGCCAAAAAACCAACTGCCAAGATAACGGATCCTGCAGCCAGCACAGCTGTGCTGCAGGCCGTGAGAAAGCATGCAAATGCCCAGACAGGAAAAACCCAAAACCAACCAATGACAGAAGGGCTGAATCATAAGCCCGCCCTGACATCCCTGTACGGTCTAACACTGAGCTCCTGCGAAGTGCAGGTAAATGGCGTGATGCGCCGTAAAGAACAGTGGATACAGGGACCGGTACGGTCCCTGTACTATGTCTAATAGACTGTACTACCGGGTGGCTCGGTTCCAGTTCGGTCGGCTCACGTGGTCCGGTATGGGATCCAGTTCGGTCAGGTTTGGTCCGGCTCGGTCCCGGTTTGGTCGGCTCGGATCTGGTTCGGTTTAGGAATGGTTCTGGGTCGGTTTGGCTCGGGTTCGGCCACGGGCGGTCCAGTGCTTGGGTCAACGCACTGTCGCGCCAGAATCCAGGGTCGGATGCGGAAATCGGTAGATTCCGCATTTTATCCGTCTGGAAAAAGGTCACGGTCTGGGGAAAATCGCGCAGGGGTTTGGGGCACAGGTACGGCCATGACCCTGCAAACACAAAAATACGCTGCTCCGGGTAGGGAAAATCAGCTGCTCCGCCGCGGGAAAGGTTGTCCCAGGTAGGACGGGCAGGGTTTTGTTGGGGGGAAATTTCTCGGCGTGGTGATGGTGGTCGATCCGGCCGTGGGGATCGGGGTTGGCATGGCTGTTGGTGGTGGTGAAGGGTCCGCAGGTCTCCTGCTGGTCCGGGTTGCGTCCACCGTCGGCATCCGTCATCGGTACGGTGTGGCTGTGGGTTTGTCCGTCCATCGCTGCACTTCTGGCTTGGCGACATCTCCATCCCCTTCTGGGAGAGGCAGTTTCCTCCGCGTTCTGCGGGAGTGACGGCACAGCTCCGGCGACTGACGGGAAATCCGGAGGAGCGGGTGAGCTCCGTACCCGGGGGTGGCACAGGGCGCGATCACGCGATCTGGTCCACAACTCAGAGGTGGCCCGTGAGCGGGGCAAGCCCGCTGTGCAACACACGAACGTCTCCGTGATCTGCTACCATGTCAGATCTGACACAGAAGCAGGAAGAAATGGGGCAAATACAGCCTTTATTGTGATAACAATAAAGCAACAACACACAAAACCAACAGAAAACCCAATGTGGGAAAAGCTGGAAAAAGTGCCTGCAGTGCGCTGGTGAGGAATCGTGATTAATGATTCCGCGTGCTGCGGGTATGCAACAGCTGATGCGGCAAAGCATGGAATCGCCCGTAGGCGCAGGGCTCCACCCCCAAGAGTGCAGAGAAATGCGCTGATTGGTCAGCGTAGACAAAGTATACGCTGAGTAAGCAGCGTAATAGCGCGGCACGAATGGAGTAGCCATGTGCGGGCGGGCGACAGAGCAAAGCCACAAGAGGTGTCTACCGCCTCGAGTGAGCGGTCTCTGACAGCTTTCATAATACAGATAGGCATACTCACATAATCCCCTTCCGTCATCTTCTTGTCAGACGCTGCCAGCTACGTGTAAAAACACAAAAACAAAGTCTTTATGATGATATGACTAGTAGTCAGGCTGCTACAAACGATTCCGGCAAGCTTTTACCATAATTGGACGAATCCGATCACCGTGGGCAATGATGATGGCAACTGAAAAACCGTTATAACTACCTTATAACTTAGCCGTTACGGCAGCAATAAAAATTTCATATCTAAAATACTAAAATCAGCGGAATTAAAATTCGCTCTTGAAAAACGGCAATGTTTGCTTGCTAGATGTAAAAGTGGACAAAATCAATAGAAGTGTGATTCTGAAACTATGACATATATACGTGTAAGATAGTAGTACAATACTTTATTTACATTATGCAAATCAGCGAGCACCACTCAGTGAACACAAATGAGATGATTGGTTTTACTGGGTGGTGCTCGCTGAACAAATCAAGCGTGTAAAAATTATTCAGTCAACAAATATAGAAAGCTTCAATTAAGCTGTTAACACACATTCCCTTTACTGACCCCGAGCTATCGTTTTCATCTCGTCCAGATAACGTTTCACATTGTTCTCGTCTGTGGCATTTACGTAATACCGGCTGATCCTGACATTATACTTCAGAAGAATAATGTCGAATACGAATGAACACACCGAAGCATACAGTCCCAAACTGTCGCTGGCATCGTCACACAGCATTGCCACATTGTTGTAGCGGAACTCAGCTAATATTTTGTGCACCATCATACTCAGATCGTAATGGTTGAAGGGAGACAACGAGGTTAACGTGGGATAGCGCCTTTTGTTGGAAAGATCATTCTCTCGATCTCCCCATGAACTAAAAAAGCATAAGGAAGCTGATAGTAACTGCAAACTTAAAAAATAATTCCAGATAGATCTGGTTCCTGTCAAAACTCCTTTAAGGCACTTTACCAGCTAGCTGACAGCCAGTACCCTTTGGCTGCTACGAATACATATGGTAGTACAGTACTTACGTAGCTAGCATCTGATAATTCCATCCTAGAAAACACGCACATGTCGTGCATTAAGAACGGTATTAATTTGGCTCAGCGTGCGCATATATACAATGTAACTGAGCAGATACTGCTGACAAAGGTGGAGCCAACTCAGCTTTAGAAAAAACAAAGCAACTTCTACTTTCAGGGAATCTAGATGATGTATGTATACGGTATATACTATATAGATATAAGGCTTGGATCCTTCAGCACTTGGGTTACTGCCGCATTCATTATGTCTTACTTCCGGCCAGTTGAGCCACAGATGCTGCTGCTGTTGGGCACCCTAGGAAAAATTAACAGTTTATGATTACCACAAGAAGTTTTTGGTGTCACTAAAAACAATCGAATTAAGTTCCACAATATATGTATTACCAGGACCAAACACTCCCATAATAGGATTTCCCATCCTGAACCGATAATAATAGCTCGCAAACCAGTATGTTACTCGTTCATCCATCGCGTCGCACGTCGTCACGTTGCGTTCGTAGACGAAGACGGTGGTGATATTCAAAACATCCTTGTACGGTGCCAAGTCTTCCACGGCCTTCGCCCTCACGGGTCCAACAAACTGTACACTCGTCGGTGTCTTATCGCCCCAGAGATGAAACTGTACCAAGGCGACATCCACGGTGGATGCCGTTATACAGCTGATGACAGCAACAATCGAAACAAGTAGGAAAGCTGACTTTCGAATTTCGGATGGGTACATTGCTGCTGCAGTCACGCGATTAACCGGTAACTTGATCTTTGAATTTTCACCAACGTTAGAACTTAAATGCTATGGAAAATGCAGAAAGATGGATTGCCGGTGCACCGTACTGGTTTGCCTGCTGACCGTTTTTATAGGAAACAACGGAATCCTAATGCGCACCTCAAAATTGTGCTGAAGAACCGGATGTGATATTTCTTGGTAGATTCGGCAGTTCCTTGTTATCTCTATTAACTGCCTTTGTCGATGAACTGGGTATAATTTTTTAGCTGGAGGACCTCTGCTGGCATTGCCGCAGTAACCGGTTTCGGCATATTTCTTAACATTATAATTATTCGATTAGCACTTACAGAGTAATTGCGCTAGTAAGTACTCGTACTTACTAAAGCGGGTTGCACTTACGATACGTATCAAGGAAATAGATCTATATTATGATCGGCCGCCCCGTGGAACTTGGCTAGAAAAAACCGCTAAGTAAATTAAAAAACCGATTTCACCATTAAACTCAGCATGTCCCAAAAGGGTCCCACATGCATTTTGTTTTCGAAAATATCTGCCCTGGACCATCGCTCGGACGCCGGTACCGGTACAGGTATCAGTTCAAGGTGACCTTGAAAAACCTTTTGCATAAAACACTGTTGCGTGGAGCAGCTAATATTCAAATGCAGAGTATGTAGTGTAATTAAAAAAACTGTAATTTTTTCAAATAAACTTTGAAAAAATTTTCAGCTTTGTCACGTTTCAACAAAACGCTCTAAAGCGAAGAAATTTTCTTTTGGTTTTCGGAACCGGAAAGCGCGTTTGCACTAGAACGTTTTAGCTTTTCCGCGTTCTTAAACATTGTTCTTATACATTACAAAAAACTTAGATCTACAATAAACAGAAATTTTAAAAATAACTTAAATACCAAAGACGTTGTCTGGTTCGGTGTAGAACGATCTTAATACTCATACTACGCTAGACTCGCGCGTTTACAAGCAAATTTGGGATAAGAATAATGGGATTCATAATGAGGCTTTGGGATTCATAATGAGGCTTTTGAATGCCACGTGAATGCGTTTGCTACATGAATAAACATTTTAAAATTTTATTCTCCTTATATCTCGTAAACAATTTTCACACAGATGTATAAAGAAAAAATCATTTGGCCATAGGGTGATCATTATGAAAGCTATGAAACGAAAAAAGTGTTTGAGGGTGCGAAAGCGAACGTTTGCGAACGTATTCCTATTTACCTGCATACAGAGGTAGTTCCTTTACATATTAGGTAGAAGGCGAAATCGCCCTTCGTCCACTCGGTGGTAGTGAGAAAACAGGCAGTGTCTAACCATAGTTTGCAAGCGAAAGTTTACTGACCGTGAGTTTTCCTATGCAATGAAAAGCTCACTAACCAGACCGGCATATGAGAACGGAGCCCAACGGAACCCTTGCCCAGTACCCACTGTTCGATGCTAACAAAGTTCTTGAGCTGCCGAATGAACAGAACCGCACAAAGGCTACACTATCCACTAACCAGACGTACCGAGTTACAGGAAACATACAGACCTGTACTGACCGTCGATCAGGCCTGTAGAGTGAACGGAAGCTCAAGTTTTAGGGAAGGGATATTATTTTAGTGTTAGTGGCTTAGACCAGATAACAGCAGAACCGTTATCATTGTCCAGCACAACGCTAATGCTCCAGCTGTCAAACGAACGGAACTGCGCAAAAGCTGGCATGTCTATCCACCGACCAATCCCGTACTAAATAAAGGGAACGGTCGCCATGGTCCGAAATCCCCAATTTACCACCGGCCTTACCACCCCTTACCACAAACAGTGTGACCGCGAGGGCTAGTTTTTATTTTGTTGGTGGCTATAGCCAATAAACAAAAAATGTTAACTACCTAACACCGGGTAGAACGACATCCCTTGTAAATGCAAACACCATTAGATGCTTGAAATCTCTGTCAAAAAATTTTTTGCACACAGTTATCCGGAAACAATCGAAATTCAGAAAGAGCCAACCCGCAGGTCATACCAGTGTTTAGGTATCACTAATCAGGGCTGCTGTAAACGCAAATTACAGGACCCGTTATTGCTGTTACTAACGTTCGGTGACTAGGACAACGTGATCTCTGTTGCTCGTTATCACTACACCCGCTCCCGACTGAATCAAAAATAAAAAAATTATCAAAAAATCAAAAAATCACACTACTGCATCTACTGACTAAGCCTACTGATTACTGAACAAAGGATATTATTGTCCTCGATCAAAATTGGTTTCCACGTACCAGTTATTAAAAAGTAGCGAAGCCGAATTATTGGCAACCTAGCACCGCTGACCGCTCTCCGATTATCAGTCGTGCTATTAACTATTTTGTTTCACATAAAATGAACCGATCAGCTATTAAGCTAAATAATGCTGTTTCCTGATTAGAGCAAGCTAACTGAAGCTATGAACAGCGCTTAATCATACAACGTAAAAACATACACACAAACCAGGCTTCAAAAATAAATGAACAAGAATTATTTTTCAAAGAATTTTCTGTAGACCACAAGAGCATCTGAGGCGAAGCCGAAGATGACTCTGTACAATTATAATACAAAGCATCGCAAACTCAGCCGGCAATTTATACGAGTTGTCCATCGTATTCGTGCATGCTGTGACAATAACAAGAATGATACTGCTTTATGTATTCGGGCGGATACATACCATTTAACGGTATATCGTTAACAGCTTAAGATTTACTGATGCAGTTTTGTTGTATTTGTAATGTCGCGAGATGCTAAAAGGAACGGGTTGTTTTGAGTGCGTTAATTTATTTGGAGAGGTTTGCGTTTGCATTCATTGCCATCAGCTGCCGTTCCGTTTCTTTTAAATTTATATCTTCTTAATTACGAATTACCAGCGAGTTTATGATGGTCGAGTAATCGAGGCAGCGCCGGTAGACGTGGTTACCATTGAGCTCCGTTGCTCAGGTAGAGGCGCACGTGGACGCGCGGTAGCAGGCTAGCAGCCATTGAACTTTTCTTTATACGACGTAGTTTTGCAGTTCTGCATTTTTGCACTTATGTAAATACAGAGTACATAACAAAAAAAGCGATGAACGCTGGCTGTTAACTTTTTTGCTTTCGACACCTGTTTTGAAATCTACCCGGCCGCTCGCTCTCCCGATCCGACATCCGCTCGCTTTGAAATTCTAGTTCAATTTCCGGGAATGCTCGCACTAAAGAAAGACCGCACAAAAATCCACACAAAATTTTCTGCTTTTTATCGGAGCATCGGATTAACGTATCGGAAATTTAAACATAATCGCAGTGGTATGGGAATCGTATCGGACAGGTGGAAAACGTATCGACATCGTTATAGCGGTGGTGAAAAATTAAAATCGGACTCTGCAGCAACGAAGTAATACAACTCGCACCTTACAACTTCCCTTACAACCTTAAACAACAGATCTGCACGATTTTTCATTTTGCAAATAAAACGTTATTTTCCATTAGACCGTAAAACAACCGTTATTTCGAAGCACCGCTAGTGTTCCGCGGATTACAATTTTACGGCAGCTATAAAAAACGTTCAGCCACAGAGACCGAATTGTATTATTTTGTGTTTTAAATTGATCGCACAGGATTAATGGTCTTCGGTCTTAAAAAGACGGAACGCATTTTCGCAGTTAAACACATAACGCTTCTCGTGTTAGTGGCGAACAGAAGAAAAATTGTTGCGTCAATAAAGTTGGACAGGTTGCTAATTTGTGTATGTAGTGGCCTCCTGGGCAACAGTCCAAGTTGGATACAACACTGTATCGATCGCTGCCGGCGACCATCCAAGGAACAACGCAACGGTGGATGCAATGTAAATCCGGTGGGTCCCTTTGGCCAGTTGTCTGGACGTAGATGAGGAATCTAGAAGTCAAATAAGTTTTATTTTGCAATCGGTCTTGTTACTTACTCTACTGCGGTTACCATTTCGTTCCTGGAATTTATTAAAATATGCTAACCACGAGTAACTATTGAACAATAGACTGCCCGCGCTCGCACTTGTTTTTTTATGGCTGTTACCTATCAAAGCATTTTCAGAATCGGACATCAGCATGTCGGTCGGTTGCGGTTTAAAAATTTATAATAAAATCAACAGGCAGTGTACAACAGGAGCATATTCAGTTCGCTTACATGCATTTTTCCGCGCAATACACGCTAAAACGAGCATTTACATACTTTTTATAATTGTATTATTTTTCTAATTTGTACGTACGCGATGTTACGGAGACGATACGACGGACTTGGATCCGGCGCATTATCATGACATATGGCAGCGATCCGAATATAACCGCCAAGATGGCCGTGGACAGGTAGCGCACTGTAAGGAGCAGAACAGGAAAGATGTCTTCTAATAATCGGCAAGCGGTGCCGTGTTGAGATGGCTTTATCACACTGACGATAAAATTCGGTAATCGCGTACCATCCACGATGATGTGCATCAGCACACACGACAGCATGGCCAGGATCCGGTTATATTTGAGGCGGTAGGACTGTGGAAAGGTCACCGCCCAGATGCGGTTAATCGCCAGCAGAATGTGCCCGGCGCCGGCAGCGGGTGCAACGATCCATCTGGAGAGATCGCTAATAGCGCACCACGTTATATATGAATCAACGTACTGTCCAATTATGATCATGTGCCAGTGTGTTGCGCAATGAAGACCTGCATTGATGACGTATAGCAGCAGAATGTTGATAATACAGATGTTGAAAGGGGTGATTAGTGTTTTCACGGATAAAAACACCGATACAACGAACAATGTGTACAGCAGATGGAAAGGAGCTATAATCGCTGCAATGTGCACCATAATGATGTGATTTCTGGTGTCCATTGTAAATGGATCCATTCTTATAGTGGAAGTGTTATTAAACGCCATGAGTTGAGTGGTTATGCGGTAAGCAGAAATTTAAAATAAGACGACTATTTGGAACACAACCGGAAAAAGTACGACGGCGTTAGGACAACATGCGACTGCAAAGCACGATATCGTTCTTGCTGATTGACGCACTACCACCTACAAAACCACCTTTCCATTGTAATCGCCTACTCATCATATCCATTTTTCAGTAACCACAACCTTGTCTAGCACTTGCGGATCCTGAAAAGGCAGCGATATAATACGCGATCACTTAAATTTTAAACAAATATCAACAATTCACATTAGCATTTAATTTGGCAAAGGTTCACACATATGTATTATCACAATGTGTGAACTTATGTATTGTATTATCACATATGTATTATGACCGAAACGTAGCAGGATTGCGCAGTTAGCGTAGGTTGTTGGCTAATTCTATAATGCGATTATTATTGTCTTTCTACAAAAAGGTAATGAAATTGGAAAACAGGTGTTACGAAATACAGTATACGCATTATACGCATACTTCTATATGTGATCAGAAAAACCGCCCTCTGCTTAAAAATAGGTCCGCCGTAAGATTCTGCGGCAGGTTTCTTGCATTTTTTAGTATTATGAGGTGTATCCGGATTTCCGCTCAGACGATTTGCCTAACTCCGAATTACCCGGCAGAAGATTTTTCGAAGCTGTAGTTTTCCTGAATGCAGTATTCTAATACAACAGTTTTTGCTGGAATACTCGCGGCGAAGGTTCTGCGCGTATTGGCCCATGTCAGACAATCGTTTCTGCACTCCCCCAGGCCTCAGTGATGTTTCACAACGGTATCACAACAATTACGAGGAAACCGTACCTACTTTTCATTATACGACAGCGGCAAAGGAATACTAAAATACTTATGAGTTACGGGCTGTGAAAAAGTTTTTCCTAGACTCCGAACTAAAATTTGTCAGTCATCTAGAGCCTTAGAATAAATTACACTGAGTTTTGTCGGTTAAATGATCAATAAGTCTTTTTAAATTGAAAAGGTACTGCTGCAGCAACAGCACTTTTCCAGTTTAAATAGAAAGGCCTTTCTTTAGTTTTCGAAGAATGCAACAGTGTTGCATTTTTTATACTCGTGAGTCGTAGGTTCGCATAAACTACTCGTATAGCAAAATTATTAAAACTGACTTTTGAGTCGTACCGGGTAGGTACTAAGTTTTATTTAGTAACTTGTGAATGAGCGACTGTTTCCGAAGCTATTAATTTTTTTATTGTCAAGTTTTTCTTATGAAGAGGATTACAGATACATAGCTCTAAGGATGGTAATATCCAATATCAAAAGTGTAATCAGAGCTCAAATATCCAATATCATATCCATATCCCGAGCTGTCCGAAAGATACGGATATTTTGGATGTTGACGGATACTGGTGGATATACAAGGATACAACAGGATATGGACGTTTGCAAATAAATTACTTGTAGAAACAACAGAGAAAACGCATGCAACAGGCTGGAGAGGAACTGAATAACAAAATTTACAATGGCACAGCACGAACTTCAACCGGATGCACTACCGGCAAGGCAACCGTGCACAAGTCTATGTTGTTTGTACAATCTCTTGTCATTTCTTGTGAGTTTTAGAAGTGAAGACGCTGTAGTTGTTTTTAATCGAGCCTAAACCAGTTATGCTTGATTACTGAGGATCGTTCAACGATCATCGTTGAAATATTTTTAAATCTTCGCGCCTATAAAAAGTAACTCTTTCACAAGTTAGCACAACAGTTCGGTACTGGAAGCTAGTGAAGTATCAACATGAGGAATTAGCACGGCTAGCACTAGCAGTCCATTTGTTTTCATGCGTGGTGCATGCGGCTGCCATTGAGAGAGGCTGGAGCCAGATGGGATACGTGCATACAAAAGGCCGCTCACGCATGGGTTTGCGCACAGCTTCTGCGTTGACGTCAATGCGCATGCAGTTTCAGAAAGAAGACCGTGAAAATTAAGCTGACCGCGCGCGACGACTGCAAAACAAGCGCATACATTATCCGAAATTGATGATCCCGATATCGTTGTGGTCAGTTCAACCACTGCCATCGAAGTAGCCGACAACGAAGTGGAAAACGAGGATGAACTTGCGGAATTCCTGTTTGAACAAAGTTATGTTGAGAACGCAACAGAGGAGGAGCTTCTGGATGACCTGGGAGACTTTGTGACTTTGGCTGACTTGTTTTATAAATCTTGCATTTTGAATTATTTTGATTAATTTTGTTATCTGTTAATCACGCACTATTTTATCACAGCTCAACTTATTTCCTAACTTTCGGAATTAGGTGTTGATGGTTAATGTGCTTTATGAAGTTTTTTGATAAAATATTCAGACTTTTCAAGACTTTTCAGAAATAAACGTTTAAATGGATATATCTGGATAGGAAATGATATATCCAAGATATTTGTGGATATATCCATATCAATTTTGGATATATCCCATATCCAGAGGCTTTCCCTTGGATATTACCATCCTTACATAGCTCTGTTAGTACTTAGTAGGTAATCACTTTTCAAAAAATTTTATTAGCCACCACCGCCGCCCGGGTGGCTACAGCACTGACTAACCGTGCGTGTACTGTCAAGCTAGATGAGCTGATCCTAAAAAGTAAAAACTAGAATAGTTACGATTTTTTGCAGTTTCTCTGACTACGCCTCCTTGAGCACTCTGTTCAAATTTGAAAATTTTGTGAACAGAAGCGCTGCTCCATAGTTGGCCAGTATGTGCACCATCTACAACCGTCCTGAGGAGATCTACGCGTGGAACGCGGTGGACGTGCGCGACAGCAGTGGTGTAATGCATCACGGCAGAATCATCAACGTGGTGAGTAACGGCCTAATCGTAGATTTCGCCTGCCCCGGACGACGGGCCGATCTGGTGGAGTACAGTACCGCATTCCGTTGTCTTCGCAACGTGTACATCACCCTCACCGATGACAACGCCTGCGCACTGCAGCACTATATTGCCGTTGAGCGCTACCAAGAAGCCGACCCACAGAATGTGGAACTGCAGGTGTTGGCCCGTGTAGATGCCAACCACCCCTGGACGTGGTACCCCGTCGAATTGATCTACCCGCGATTATTCTGGCAGCGCTACCTTTTTGTGGAAATCCGCTTGGGCGAGGGGCGCGTGGTGCGGCAGATGATACGGGCGCATTCCGTGCGCTGGCGCCTTGTGCACCCCATCCCCTCCGAGAAGGCATGCGTCATCGAGCCCTACATGTTCGTTGCGTGCGGCCTGCCGTTGCCCGCTGACTACTGGGGCGGCGAGCCCGTTGCCGCGCCGCTGTGGGATGCTTGGAAGGAGGCTGTCGAGGCGTCCCAGCATGCCGTATGGCCAGTGTGCGTCATCGGGGGCATGGTGGTGTTCCTGCACTGTTTAATCGGCTGCCCGCTCACGTTGCAAACCACAGACTTGGTGAGTTAAGTGCAGAATTGCAGCTTTCATCTGTAATAACCATTGCAGTTCTTTCCTTAATATTTATAGAAAATTCACCGGTACTTGGAATAATGACTGAAGTACTGGATACAGCATAGGGGAAATTAATGTTATTTTTGCGTCACAGTTTCTGGCTACGCACGTACTCTATAGGCTGCATGCAATAATTTATTCTTATAAAGTGGAGTCAGTTCATTTTACAAATATTTTGATGCAAGTTTTTACACAAGCAACCCACACCGGGATTAAATAGGACTGTAGTAGCATTCGCCATTGGCATTAATCCGTTGTATTCTTTGTTATCAGGACCAGTTACTGTCCGAAGCCAAGAGGCGGGTAGCTCAGCAGTCAGTCGCAGCGATGACACCACCCCAGCCGTCCTGCGCCCCGCCTCAGTATGAACCCTTGCCAGTGCTGCCGGCTGCCGTCGTAGACCACATTTTTCACCTACTGGACAGCGCCCAGCGTGCCCGCTGTCGGCGGGTGTGTTCGCTGTGGAACGGTCTACTTGAGCATCCGAACAAGGAAGTCATCGTGGGATTTTCTCATCAGCGCTGCGTTGATGAGCGCGGCAAAGCCATCACTCCCCACGAGGCCGAGTGGCAGCGCTCTGCGTACATGGTGGGGCTGAGTTTGTGGCGCTGTGTAACTGCCAGAACGGAGCGGATTGTCATTAGTAATGCGACGTACCAGAGCGATGTCAATGAAGGCCTGGCTGACTGTCTGCGGCTAATCGAGTACATCCACATGGAACTGCCGCCTAGCGGGACGACGCTGACACTCATCGTGCACAAATTCCACTGGAATGTCCGCAATTGGCGGAACAGTGGTCTGGATTGTCTGGTGCCTATGGTGAGAGTCATCTGGAGGGACTGCACGTTCTCCGGTCCCGGCGAGCACTTCCAATGGCAGCCCATTGTATACGGTGTCAGCCGCACGCGTGACGCGACACGGAGCGGGCGCGACGTGGGCCTGTTTGGCGTGGTGGAGGCCAGTCTGCCGGAACTTGGGGAAGATGCCGCGCGGGTGTGGAACTGGATAGCGGATGCGGACTGCGAAGGAGCCGATCCTGGGCATCGCGAGCGCATTTTTCAGGTCTGATGGAAGCGCGGACCTAGAATAGGGTTATCAGGGCCGTTGCGAGAAACCTCCGTCATAGGGTCTAGATTAAAAAAGCTGAGCAAATACTGAACTGAGTGCCCACGCACTGAAAAATTCAGTTGGCAAGCGTTGTTGAGATAGGGATTTGATGAACCGTTTTTCTGCGCTTCTCGTAGATTTTGAGGTAGTTATTTTGCCGCAGTGTTGGCGACAGCGCGGACCCTTCGGCTATTTGCCGTACTTCGCATGGGGACTCTAGTTTCCACCTCACACAGTAAGGGAAATCTTGTTTTCACCCGCACAGCTGCCGCTTGCACGCTTAAAGCTGACTGCAGTTTAAAGCCGGTTTCTAGCCAACTCGGCATATCGGTCACGCAGCTGAATGAAAGAGCGGAGTGATTAGAGTCTAATCTCTCCGACAAACTTGTTGCTGCAGCGCACGCGGCTTTAAACTGTAGTCAGCTTTAAGCGTGTAAGCGGCAGCTGTGCGGGGGAAAACAAGATTTCCCTTACTGTGTGAGGTGAAAACTAGAGGCCCCATGCGAAGTACTCGGGTCGGGAAAATAGCCTTTGCTGTTTAGCCGCGCGCTGCGACAAACTAGCTTGTGCTATTTTATCACGGTTAGGGTGGCTAATTGGCCGCAGTATGCGATTCCTGGATTTTGTAAAACTTACAATGCGGTAAAATAGTTAACGGCTACCTATTTATTCAGCCATCATAACTGCGGCATAATAGCAGGAGGTATGTTTGTTTTAGACGCTGTGGCGAATACTGCGGCAAAGTAACTGCCCTTTTCAAACGGGCGCGACTTCTTGCGCCATCTTCCCTTAAACCTTGCCACGGCCCTGATCAGCAAAATGACAGACATGTGCAACTTTTTTGCCGTCTATAGGTTCTGGAAGACTGCCAGAGTTGGCACGATATTCGGGATTTTTATCCGGACGACAGTATAACTTTGGGGGACGGGACGCTGGAAGTACTGCGAAAATATAGGTTGGCTGGTTTGAGCAAGCTGACGCAGTGCGGTCTGCAGCGTGAGATGGTTCGCGGACAACCGGCTCGGGCTGATTAAAGTTTTCTAGCCTCCACGCCCACCCGCGGACGGTGTTCGAATGGCTGCAATGGGTCTATGGCGTTCTATTATGGGACTCCGTGATCGAAGACAAAACATTCGTAAATCCCGTCGCAGCTGCGCTAAAAATCTCCCGTTTGCCGTACTCCAATTTTTTTTTGAGATACGCTGATGACTTGCTTTAAGTGCCTAACAAAATAGCAATAATTGAAGCAGAAAGGTAACAGACCGTGTTAACTATAACGCAATAATTTTATTGTTGGGCATATTAATTTGTTACGAAATTCTGTCCAACTTTAGTGAGCAAAATGATTTTTCCACCCAGTGGTGTGTCATGCTGAGGAGTCAGCACAAAGCGATTGATTCAACGTAAACATTAGTTAACAAACGGAAACCTAAACTCCTAAAGGTTTTGTTCGAACCGTGTGGGAAATATTTTCAATTTCGGTATCCCTGGACCAGAGATAATAATTATTATTAAGTCTTCCTGTATAGGTTGCTCTGCAAAAGTTTTGCAGTACAGATGTTACGTAATGAGGTGTCGTTACTAAAACTACAATGACGTGCAAAACATGAACAGGTGTCTGTAGAAGGAACAGAGTTCTCTGCAACATGCGCAGCAGTCCACAAAATTAACCTTTGAAAGACTTCTGGCTGGTAAAATTACTTCTTTTTTGCCAGCTAATTGCACAGCTCCCACAGTGGACCCACACTGAGTCCATTTCAAATGGATTGTTTTAAATGGAAAAATTGGTTTTTTGTGGGTCCGAGGAAAGTGCAATTATGCTAACATTCCTTTGATCACTTCAAACAAGTTCACGACAGCGGCCACCAGCTGCTGATATTGATTATGCTCCTCTGAAAGCCAAAAAAAAATTCAAAGTACCGCACCGCCAGATTGATATTACTCTAGAATTTTTTGGTGTACGCACTGGTAGCTTCGCACGCCCGTTTGATTCCACGATAGCCGCATTTCGGTTCGTTTGGAGGCGGACTGTCACGCTTGTACCAAACAATTTGGCGGATGCTGTGATTCTCTGGTTCACGAGAAGGTTCCAAAACTTTACGCTTGGCAGAATACTCCAACACAGGCTAAAAATTCAGTTGCTAGCACAGTTAAGGGAAGTGACACGGTACATGGTACCAAATTCGTATGCATGCACGAAAATTTACTGTTGCGCAATCCCAAACACCGATTCGTTTTTTTATGGCATTTTGTACGCAGGTGATTCTGCATACATATGTGTGAAAGTCGCATGTGAGCGCATGTATTTGGTATCCAAACTTTTTGGAATTCTCTTTCAGCTATAAATCCGAACTGGATGTTGCGCGGACAAATGGTTTTCGTGGCTATATATACAAATCATCTGGCTTTACAATAACATAAAACAAAGCAAAAAAGTGTTTGGGAGTGCGCAAGAGTGAAAAGTTATCGTGCATGTACTCGAATTTGGCTTCCCTTGACAAGAAGTAAGATTAGCGATAAAATATTACAGTCCGCTGAGCGAGCAGCGTATTCTTTTTTATAATTTCTGCGGCTCCAGTAAGATTCCGGCAGCATGCCGTTCAAACAATGGTATCAGGACAAGCTTAAATTTACCATAAACGTTCCCGTTTCAGCATTCATTTGGTGGAGTGTCCAATCCGCCTCGCGATCGCCATTATCGTTAATGGGGATATCTTGCCCTAATATGGTGAAGGTGCGATTCCACATCACTCTGCTCGTATTAGCCCCGTCATTGGGATTTCCTCCGTACGCTATGGTTTCGTTTAGCACCTAGAAGGCATGTGTTTGATTTTGCAGAAAAGACAATAATTATAATCGCCAGAAAAACAAGATCTACAGATCGGTGCCCCTGCCGTAACTGTCACTCGTCAACTCCCACAAGCGTCTTTAATCAATAAAAATAAAACCGAAATACTGGAAACAGACTGGCTTGCTGGCACAATGACCGTTACCTGCGCGTAAGCAGCAAGGGCGTAATAGTTCGCCATGGCGAATGGATTGACCTTTAAAGCAACAGAGCACATAAGTTACTAAAGTTTTGCTTGCAGTTGATTTGCCGGTAAGATCACATAAATAACTTCATTTTGTTGATTTGTTTCAATGATGCTTACGTCTTCTCCAGTTGCGTATGTGTAGTCAAATCTTGTTTTTGACAGTCGTTTTATTTCATCCGTAACATTATGGTATTCGGGCGTGGCCTCCGGGCTACGGAGAGATATTTTGAAGAGGGAACGGAAGGCGGTTTGGGCATCCTGAAGAGCCAAGAATGGGTTCAATTAAACGAGATATTTCGCAATCAGTTTGCTGCGGCAATCTTTGAAAAACCGAATAATCAACAACTGCAGATGAGCTATCTTCCAACTCATTCTTACCGCATCACGCTTGTCGCCATCCCCGGTATTCCACGCAATACTACCGAAAAACTTTGTGCTTTGAAATAGCTCAATTGTGAAATAGACCTGTAATTCAACGCGCTTTAAACCGGACAGCAGAAATTTGAATGGACTGCTAGAGTACCTATCTGCATGCTTGGGACATTTTTTATTACGCATATAAAACCAGCACATTGTACTTACATAATCGCCCCCCGTCATCTGCTTATCGAAGGCTGCTAGCTAAAAAGACGTAAAACATCTTTATCCCATCAGTAATTAGACATAGTGTTGCGGCGATGGTTTTACCATGATTGGACGGATCCGGTCACCGTGGGCAATGATGATGACAACTGCAAAACCATTAATAACGGTTATTAAAGCATAGGAGAATGTGCTGACACAAGCTATTTTCCTCACCCCGAGCTATAGATCTAATCTCTTCGAGGTAATGTTTCACATTGTTTTCGTCAGTCGCATTCACGTAAAACCGGCTCGCGCTAAAATTATACGTCAGACGAAGTGTATCAAACATATTTGTGCACACTGGAACATAAAGGGACAAATTGTCGTTGGCATCATCACACAATATTCCCACAGTGTTGTAGCTGAAATAATTCAGCAATCTGAATATGAACATGTTCAGATTGTAGTCAATATAGGGAGAGAAGTTGGTCAGTGTTGGGAAACGCCTCTTGTTGGAAAAAGCGTAATCTCCCCATGTCCTAAAAATATAGAAAACAGTTAAGAGTTATTGCGAATCAACGTCCGTTAATTCAAACATAGGACACATATAGGTCCAAAATAAAGATTTCTCTGAATCCTTTTTTACGGATACTTACGTGGCTAGCATCGGTCTATTCCATGCTGCAAAACACACACTTGTTAATTGTTCAAAACTGCACCAGTTTGACTTATGGTACTCGTCCTGCAGTCAAAAACAAAATCAGTTATTTAGCATGAGCGGTTGAAATTTTGGTTTCAAACGAACATTTGGTTTTTTCGGGATCCAGCGCTACATTCATTTAATGATGTACTTGTTAGCGTCGCTTACCTCTTGCCAAAGGAGCCACAGATAACGCTGCAGATGGGCATCCTGTACGAAATAACAATAATAATAGTAACAAATAACAGTCATTGACAGGGATATTAAGGTTCACAGGCAGCGAATGTTACCGGGGCCGAATATTCCAGTAACGGGATTTCCAACAGCCTCACGGTAATAGTAGCGCGTAGCCCAAAATGTTGCTTTTTTGTCAATCTCGTAGCACGTCGTCACATTGCGGTCGTAGATGAGGACTCGTGTTATATTTAAAACACCCTTGTACGGTGCCAGATCGTTCTCTCCCTTAGCCATAACGGGGGCTGCGAACTGCAGACTGGTTGGTGTCTTAGCGCCCCATAGATAAAATTGTACCAACGCTACGTCCGTTACGTTTGCACCTCTGACAAAAGCAAAAACCGAAAGAAGTAGGAAAGAAGTCAATTTAACTGGGGATGGATGCATTGCGGAAGCAGTTTTGCGGCAAACTGAAAACTGAATTCTCTAATTTCAACAAAATTTAAACATGTATGTTAAGAACGATTGACTGCTGATCTCTTTTGGCTGTCTTTACAAAGGAAACATCAAAGCAAAGCGCTACTCATATCACCCTTCGGTAATAAATGTAATAATCCCTGGTAGGTTCGGCAGTTCTTTGATAATTTTTGTATAATGTCTTTGTTTAGAAACTTGTTATTCCTCTTATAGCTGGAGGGTCATTTGCTGGTCTTGTTGAATTAACCGGTTTCTGCATTATCCTAATAATTTTGATCGATAGCATCGAATCGTTTCGAAGCTCGTGTGGAGATGGTGAGCGTACGTTCTCACGTTTACTGCCACAGTAACACCGGTTGGTTTGCGGATGCAATAAACAAGAGAAGAAGGAAGTGCGAAATTTGATGGCATTATCCAACAACATCACAAATTCAGCCGACATTTAAACGCAAATAAAGGAAATAAACGTGTTTCTGCATGGCTCATTGAAGTGACAATTAAAATACTGCTTTATTTGTGGCAATATTTTCCATTTATTACATAGTTTACACTTTGCAGCTTTACGATCATGTGCTAACAACAGCTAATTGTTAGTTGATGGCCTGTGGACAGATTCAATAAATAACTTGATTTGCTAGCGCAGATCCTCACCGGATTGTGGTGCTTTGTTTTTGCCAAAACATGTATTTACGAAATTACGAATAACTGCCAGTAGGCATCCGTTGGTTGCTGGCACTCGAGGAAGCGCCTCTGCGCTTGGCAAATAGCAGTTTTCTTTAGCATACGCCTAATTCCACAAAACTAAACTTTGAAAGAATTGGCTGGTACCATCACATTTCGTACCTTGCCAGCTCATAGCAAAGCATCTACATTCAAGCTGATACATATAAATCATGATGAATTGGAGAAATTTCTTGTGGGTCCGAGGAAGGTTAGAAGCCGCTAAGTGAAATTATGCTATCATTCCTTTGATCACTTCAAACAAGTTCACGACAGCGGCTACCAGCTGTTGATATTGGTTACGCTGCTCTGAAATCCAGAACAAAAATTCTGTAGGGGACTGAGAAATCCGCTTTGATTTTACTTCGAAATTGATCGGTGCGCCTACCTGTCTCGCATTCCGGTTTAATTCCACGGTAGCCGCATTTTGGTTCGTTAGGAGGCGGACTATCACTCTTGTACCAAACAATTTTGCGGAAACTGTGGCTTTCTGGGTCACGAGAAACTTCCAGGGCATTGCGCTTGGCAGAAAACTCCAATACAGGCTAAACAGAGAAAAACTGAAGAACAAAGCAATTCCTACAAATTGGGTTTCACCTGTTTCATTCAGACAAACCCCCGTTTAAACAATGGTTTCAAAACAGTCACTAATATACCATAAATATTCCTGTTTCAATGTCCATTTGGTTTAGGGCCCAATCCATATCGCGATCGCCATTAGCGTTAAGAGTGATATCTTGACCTAATACTGTGAATGTGCGATTCCATATCAGTCTGCTCATCGAAACTCCGTCATTGGGATTCATTCCAAACGCTATGGCTTGGTTTAGCACCTAGATAGCACGTGTGCAATTTAGCAAAAAAGTCAGTATAATAGCCTGAAGAACAGGATCTTCGACTCATTTCCCCTGCTTTGACTGTGGCAGTTACCGATTCAGCAAGCATAGTTTTTTAATAAAACAGCACGGGAATGACGGGATAATTGAACACTGACTGGCTGGTATCGACACCATGACCTTTACCTGCCCGTATATGGCGAGGGCGTAGTAGTAAGCCATTGCAAATGGATTGACCTTTCAAGCAACAAAACACATACGTTATTAAATTTTTGCTTGTATTTAATTGGTGAGGATTTGCATTTATTTAATTGGTGAGGATTGTCGCATTTTTCTTCCTTTTAGTTCGGCTTACTTCTTCCCCAGCGGCGTATGTATAGTCAAACGTTATTTTTGACCGTCGTTTTATTTCATCGGTAACATTAAGGTACTCGGGCGTGGCATCCGGACTGCGGAGAGATATTTTGAAGAGGGAACGGAAGGCGATTCGGGCATCCTGAAGAACAACCAAAGGTCAAATTAGATTGAATTTATTGCACAACCATTTTGCAACAACAATGTTAGGAAACGGAACAGTTCGTGACATTCGACCAATGCGTCCTTACCGCATCACGCTTATCAATGTTTCCGGTGTCCCAGGCAATGCTACCGAAATACCTTGCGCTTGGAAATAGCTCAACTGTGAAATAGACCTGCAATTCAATGCGTACAAGAACTTGTGAGGAGAAATTGGGCTAAGCAGCTTGCAATGATCTCCCTGCAACAGTTCTTGTAATGCAGATAAATGCAGCCCATTATACTCACATAATCACCCTCCGTCATCTGCTTATCGAATGCTGCCAGCTGAAAATGCACGTAATTAATACCTTAATTTGCATAATTGATCGGTCACAATCGGCGATGGTTTTACCATGATGGGACGAATTCGGTCGCCGTGGGCAATAATGATGACAACTGTAAAACATTAAAAACTGTTAAGAAGTCATAGAAGCAGGTGCTGCCATAAGCTTATTTTCCTCACCCCGAGCTGCAGATCTAATCTCTTCAAGATAATGTTTCACATTGTTTTCGTCTGTGGCATTCACGTAAAACCTACTGGCGCTGAAATTATACGTCAGCCGCATCGTATCGAACAAATTTGAGCACATTGGGATGTAAATTGACAAATAGTCGTTGGCATCATCGCACAATATTCCCACAGTGCTGTAGCTAAAGTGATCTAGCAATCTGTGCATGAAAACTTCCAGGCCCCAGTCAATAAAGGGAGAGAAGTTAGTTAGCGTAGGGAAACGCTTCTTGTTGGAAAATGTGTAATCAGTGCCCCGTGTGCTAAAAAGAAGGAAGTAGTTCAAAGTAATTTCGAATTATCCGCCAAATCTAGCATGGTTTTTACATAAATAACCGAAATAAAGATTTGTCTGCATCTTTCTCACGAGTACTCACGTAGCTAGCATCTGTTTATTCCACGCTGCAAAAGGAAAACCTGTTAGTTATTCAAAACCGTATAAATTTCGCTTTTCGTGCGTAATTATGCCAGCCGAAGTCACAAAGCAAAATCAGCTTGTTTCAGCGTACCTCTTGCCAAAGGAGCTATAGATAATGCTACAGATGGGCATCCTATACGAAAAACAATTTTTTGATTAAGAATATCAATTTTCACAAGCAGTAGAATCATTATTTCTGAATATTACCGGGGCCGAATATTCCCATCACTGGATTTCCATTCGCCTCACGGTAATAGTAGCGCGTAGCCCAGAATGTTGCTTTTAGGCTCATCTCGTCGCAGGTCGTTACATTGCGGCTGTAGAGAAGGACTCTTGTTATATTGAGAACATCCTTGTACGGTGCCAGATCTTCCTCGCCCTTTGTCATCACAGGACCGACGAATGTCAGACTCGTGGGCGTCTTATCGCCCCACAAATAAAACTGCACCAACGCTACGTCCGTCCGTCCGTACACACATCTGACGACAGCAAAAACCGAAAGAAGTGAGAAGGAAAATGTTTGAATTATGGATGGATGCATTGCGGAAGTAGTTTGGAACTTTCCCAGCTAACAAATAATTGAATCCTCTAATTTCAACTCACTTCATGCACATTATACGCGCAGCACGACTAATCACTGATACTGGTTTCGCTGCTGGCTGATTCTATAATGAAAGCGCTACTCATATTGTGCATTAATAATAAATGTGATTTTTCTTGGTAGGTTCGGCAGTTCCTTGATGATTTTTGTGTGATATCTTTATCTAGAAAAAGCTTGTTATTCTCTCTAGCTGGAGGATCTTTTACTAGTCCTGTTGAACTAACCGGTTTCTCCGTAATCCTAAAAATTTAATGGATAGCACTGCTTGCTTCGGCGCCCGTGTTGAGATGGTTAGCAATGAGCACATGCTCTCACATTTTCTGCTGCAATAACACCCGAAGTGCAGAATTTAATGGCATTATCAAGCACATCGTACAGTCAGCCGGCATTAATATGTAAGCGCAATTAAACGATTCAAACTTGTTTTTGCATGCATGGCTCATTGCAGTGAAAATCAAGATGCGGCTATATTTGTGGCAGTATTGCTCCGTTTATTGGCGTACAGCTTCACGACCATACCCTAAACGTTAGTTGCTGTCCTGTGAGCAGATTCAATGAATAAGTTGAACTGCTGTCACAGATTCCTCGTTGTTTTTAGGCACGGTGCTGATTTGTCTTGCTAAAAAAGTATTCACGAATAACGAGTAACTACAAAATCAGAAGTTACCGCCGGTTGCTGACATTCGAGAAAGCGCCTTTGCGCTCTGTTTATGGGCACACGTCTAAACGGGATCTTGAAATAAGCGATGCACAAGACACAAGCATTCTTCCAGAAATCAGTAGTGTTGTGAACACATGCCGAATTACGTAGAAGTTTTTAGCGTTTTGCCCGGCGATGGCAGCATCCGCTTTTTCAGTTCACACATACTAAAGCCTGACATTAGATTCGTTGCAATGAAAACTCCACAAAACGTAACAAAATTCCTTGCCGATCCAAGAAAAACGGGAAGCCGGTCGGCACAATCCTGCTACGTATCATGTCTCCCTCAACTTAAGTAATTTTGAGACGGCGGCGCCTAGCGTTTGGTAGTGGTTCCCTTGCTCGAAGCCAGAACCAGATTTAAAGTAGACAGCAAACAATTTTTTGGCATTTATCAAAGCATGCACCTTTAACAAGACGACCGGCTGGTTTATTGCAGAGATAGCCGCATTTTAGGCCCTTAGGAGGCGGACCATTACGATTGTATGCACCACATAATTTTGCGAGTGCTGTTCCCCAATGGGTCACGAGAGACATCCATGGCTTTGCGTTTGGCTGATGAACGAATACTTATCAATAAATTTATGTCGGTCGGCGGTTGTTACAACCAAGGCAACGCCCATAAGCCAGGTGACCTCGCATTCCGTTTCCCAGGTTGGCTCAGTCTGGTGACGGTAGGACGTACAGGGATTGCTTGCCTCCGCCATTGACAGCCTCCTTAAACAAGGCAGGTTATCAAATTTTTTAACAGCAATAATTATGTGGCTTATCTGTAGACTGTAATTCCCGGTAAAGCGAATCGTCCTACAATGTAAATGTGTTATTAGCTTACTTCCTCTCCGGTAGTGTACATGTAGTACAGGGTTTGGGCTAAAGCTTTATTTTGTCACTAAAAATACGGAACTCCGGCGAGACGTCCGCACTAGGCTGAGATAGCACGAAGTAAGAACGAAATACAGAGTAGAGTTTTTGGGCATCCTGGTGCACTGGTGCCATTTGCGCTCATGCTCGTGTCACCGTTACTTTATTTAAATGATTTAGCGTTCTGTAATGTTGCCAATACCGCGAGTGTTACGGATTTCGTTGTTACAACTTACACCGCTTTATGAAAATTACTGGGTTTGCACAAGTACATTTTAATAATATTATGGTTTTGTTCTCAAGTCATACTGGACATGCTTTGTGTAGAGTAACCTAATTAATCAAGTTTTAAGTCGACTGATACATAAGAGGTTGCGCTTCGAGATATTTACTGTGGTCTGTCGTCAAGACAACACATGCGCTGAACAAAGCGGGACAAAGCCATGTTTTACACACAAATTTTCGCAGATACCTCTTAAGTTATTGTACTGATGTATTAGTTTTCGTGAGCACCACTTCTGTTAATAAAATTTACGATTACAAATTATAAAATCCTGCTGCAGAACAGCATGCGCACATTGTGGGCAATTGTTAGTCTTATGAAGCAATCTTGTTCCATCCATGAAAACGCGTGTGGCTTCCTCATCGCATTTTTTTGTTATAGCTGCAGCTGTGCTGTTCACGTGTTCCAAAAGGCATCAAAGCGCTCTGTAATCATACCAGCAATAATTGTTATCCTGTAAGAAAAGACGTAGGCGTTACACAACAGCTCTTAGACAATGCCAACCTGCAGGCGTTTTGTGGAGCCATGGAAACATCCTGGGACTGCAGCGCATAGGACAAATTCGGTGTTATCATCGGTATGTGAACAATATCGGCATCCTCTGCGTAGCAGTTGTATGTGGCAGCTATATAGCGCTGCGGACCGATGGGCGAATCGCAGATTTTGGCGCCAAATTTAAGCCATGTTGCCGTCAACTAGCTGTTTTCGAAATACTGCAGCAGTGAATGTCCAGGGCAACGCTGATCCAAGGCGTTCAAGCAGTTTCCGAATTCTTGACTAATGCTGTAAAGGAATGTTAGGGTTACTTTTGCGATTTTAGATGGAATAGCTTTACAGCGTTTTTGCCAACTATTCTTAATTAAAGGTAGTTTAACTGCCAGATATTTCACAAAAATGCACTAATCACCGTACCGGCAGAAGGTTTTTCCGGTTTGGACTGCTAGGTTAGCCTTCTCGTCTGTTACGGGTCACTGTCCATCCATGAGCTCTTGGTGAATCTCACTTTGCTGGTTCTTTAGACCTTGGCAATGTGTTTTCAATTCAGCGCATGTTTCCAGCAAAGGCACTGAAAAGCAGCCAGTGGCAAGGACAACGACCCAAAGTAAAAACGGCGTCACGTTCATTGTGTTCGCTTTTAACAAGAGTCGTGTTGCCGTTTCTTGCTCTCCAATCTTGTTCCTGTCCTCAATACAGTTTAGCTCACCGAACGCTGTTCGATACCACCGCCTTGTACTTCTGATTACAAACTGAAGTATTTTTACAGATTTCCTAAATACTGTATCTAGTGCATTTTCCGTGCCTGCTTTATATGATTAGCTTAAGATAATTACAGCGATTGCAAAGTTGATAGTGAAACATGCAGCAATCTCTTCTGTACATGTGCAATCGACGGCCGTCAGTCGATTGAGCTGATTAAATTCCTCGAATTTAAGCCGGTTTCAGGTAGCATATTAAGGTTGATGCAGTAACGTTTATAAGAATCGGCGGCTAAAATATGCTAGACTGACAGTTACCCGAAACAGTGCATTAGGAATCCCAAGTCATCAGTAAATCTCCAGAAAATCTGCGCATATACAGGGTTATCGCGCCAAGTGTGGACAGTTGCGTAAAATAAATTAAGAAATATTCCTGTATATCGTTTTGGCATATGTTTTGATTTTTTCTAGTGTAATTTTTTATTGCGGATTCAGTGATAGCAAAACTGATATCTGTTGAAGTGTCCGAAAGGAAACGGGCGGTGCTTAAGGGGAAGGGGTAGCGGTCAATTTTTTAACGTTTATAATGACACCTCTCAGAAATTCAGTAACGGGTGTTTTCGCGTGACCTTTATAGTAAACTATCGAGTGCTCTACAAAGTTTTTATTACCGGTTAGCAAAAAATTCTAGCACGATCACTGCTCGTCGTGAGTTCGAAACAGGTTGTGCCTCCCATAGACTTGTATGTTAAAACCTACATTTCGAAGAATGTTGTTGCCTGGATCCCTGGTTGCGCTGGACGAGAGATTAGTGATTTAACGGAAGTCCGAAAGGAACCATTAGAACACCATGTTATTACTTGGGGGTTCTCAATTGTCCAACATTTTTAAAATAATGCTGATTGCACGTGACTATTTCTCGTTAAGCAGTGCAATTTTTCGGAAAAAATGAAAGTAAATCTTCGGCTTTTTTCCTGCAGTATAGCTTTTAGAGCGGGAAGATGGCCAACGAAGCTGCTACAGACCAAGATCTATCATATAAAATTAACATAAAAATTTGTGACTTCACTGGTTGCAACTGGGGAATTTTTTGTACTGTCCACACTTGGCCCGATAACCCTGTATATTTTTAGAAAACGCTCGTGCACCACTAAGAAAACCGAAACGAGACTGGAATCATCTCTTTGTCGCGATTTCCACAAAATCCTGGCTGCTTTCCGTGCAGCCTTAAACTGAGCAACCGCAAACGGTTACAGTATCAGAATACCTATGCGTGATGAGTACAATCCTCGAACAGGAAAGCATCGAAAAGTGTTTTTATTATAAATGTTTTGCTTTGGTGCTCACTTTAGTACTAGCATTGTGATAATTATTAAAGCACCTTTCAGAGTAAGCGTTCACAGTGTTTCACAAAACCTAAAGTCAAGACGGATTCGTACATTTTTTGCTGAAATCGGGCAACAATTTAATTAAACATACGAAGATAACAAAACAAAATTTCTGTGCGGAGGACGGCCTCGGACACTGCGCAGAGAAAGCAGGTTTCTGGTTCGCTTGTATTTATCTGTTTGGGCGTATTTCAATACGAATTCGAAACAGAATCATTGCACCGCCAACCGATAGCCATAGACTGTAGTAGCAACGTGGTATTAAGTATTAACAACTGTAAGTTAAATTTGATATTTCATGCTTAATGAGGCGCCATATTGTCAACCCCGGATTAAAAAAGCCTCGTTTTTGAGATAAGATTCGCAGCTTGCCAACATCTGTTTACTTATGACTTGATCTGCGCATGTTACTGGCGCAGCTCCCACAAAACGTTACTAGCTGCATAATCATGAGGTAACAGTAGCATCAGAAATTGGAACACTATTTTTTTGTCAACCACAGCATACGAAAGTACTACCCAAGAGCGGTGCATGCCGTAAGTAAATATCAGCGAGGTATGAGAGAACTATTGTTCGGGTGCTGGGTCAATGCAAAGCAGCGGCTATTGAGGTGGTGGTTGGGAGCTAGTGCAGTACAGAAGGCGTGCGAATTAAGTGTGCGTTCTCTGTTGTTTAACGCGAACGTCAATGCAAATCCAGTCACAGTTTACCAATTTTAATAATAAATAAAAACAGCCCTGCGCTGTGAGCGAGCGCTGTAACAAATGCTTAGAAAAATATTGCCAACACCAGCAACATTAAAACACAGTTATTTATTACTTATCACATAGCTGGGCGGAGAAAAACAAAAAAACAACATAGACAGCACAATTAATTGTAGAACAAACACGTCGATCTGAGTTCTGCCAAAAACGATTTCGTATTACCAAGATATATCCTAAAATATCGCTTTCTTGGCGTCGGATTTCACGTGATAGTCCTTCCAGCCGTTGAAGGTAGCTGTGACCAGGCCACTGCAGCCAAAGCTCCCCGTTCGCGAGCTGCTCAAGTACACTGAAAAAACCCGATTTCGTTAAAATGTGTTCAGAATGTTATAATATAATCGGCTTTTAGTAATTTATTTATCTAAACCTAATAAAATGAGAAATTGACAAGTGAAGAGGAATGGCGAAGTAACCAAGATACGAACCACATAAAGCAAAAAAATAATCTGAGGAAAACAAACGATAAAATCATAAAATTAAACGAACAGAACGATCATGCATTCCAAATACGGCGAGCTACGAAAAATACTGTGCGGTATGTTTGTTAGTATTAAGCAAGTACAGGGATTGTTCAGCTGAACCACCTTTATCACATACCTTGCTTAACGCGATCTCGCTCGTTCCTGCTGTCCGCCATATGCCGCGAAGTTCAGGATGGAATAACGACTGGTGGCTAGTCAGATAAACGAAATCATTTTTAGTAACTGCAAAGATGATTAGATAACTTATTGGCAAGACTTCTGTCTCTATGTGGTTTAGCTGAGGACACTAAAACGGTAACTCGCAGTCTAACACTCGAACTGTAGTGACTTACTGTAGTGAATGCGACTCCGCTTTCCGTTGAATGGCTCGTTCTCCATGCCGCTGCTTCCCCTCCATGGCTTTTCAGCTATTCCTAGGTTGTGGCGGGGTTTTTGAGGACAAATTAGGAAAGGAAACGCGAGCAAGGCCCTTATACCCTTGCTGCAAGGGTATAAACGTCATCAGCCCAGAAGCCAGGAGAACAAGCGAAGTCGCTCAAGCTAGCAAGTAGTCCCCAGTTCAAAACGATTTCGCGCATGGTGGCGAACAGTATTATTAAATGTACCGCAAAAGTGAAAACTGCTTTAATAAAAATAAGTTTGCAGGACCAGAAGCGAGATCGCTGAAACGACAACAACTTAAAAATTTTACGAAGACTGAATAATTTTTACTGACGGCAAACTGCAAAGCCTGAAAACCCGCGTGCAGAGCAACCTCTGCGTCGACAGTAGGCATTCAAGCACGTGGATTGTGCGGTGTGCCAACCGCACAGTCACAGAGCTACATTATTTTCGGCACAGTCGCCAACCGCCCAGAGCGCTGCTTATAGAACCCTACGGCGGTCAGAGGCCAGCGGCTAGTTTAAAAAGTTTGGGTCTAGTGGCCTGCGATCAACATCACAGCTGGCACATGCGTAGCCGCTCGAGCAGCCGCTGAGTTACTTGTATGTTGGCAGCGCCCAATTGTTTTGTTACTGGCACCGGAAATACAAATTTTCAAATCTGCCGTGGAAACCGGGAACAGAACAACAAAAAAAACAACTGTGTACATGTCGGGCGAAAACCGCTCCCATTCGCGTGACAGAATCTCAACCTATTAAATGCACGATTTCTCTTGCGAGTAAAAGAAGATACTGACGCAATGCGTTAATAACTGGTAAAATTTTCTGACAGTTACAACCTACAAATTGAAATGGCTATAAACAATATAACGCCTTAACGCGGGCAATTAGTTTCACGAAGATATCCGGTTCCATCCATCAGAATTCGCCGGCCTTCCTCACCGCACTTTTTTGCAATGGCTGCCGCAGTTCCATTCATGTGTGCCGAGATGTCTGATAGTGCCCTGCAATCAAACATCACAATTATTGTTCTAAAATACATATGGTACGCAGAATGATTGGAAGTGATACCAACCTGCAAGCGTTTTCTTGAGCGGTGGAAGCATTGACGGACTGCTTCACATAAGTCGACTGAGGATTTAGCCTCGGAATTTGTGCTTGAAGATCGATATTCTCCGCGTAACAGTAGTACAAAGCCGGTATATAGTTCTGCACGGGGGCGGCTGAGTCGCAGAGCTTGGCGTTAAATGTCAGCCATGTGGCCATGAACTGGTCGTTTCCAGAAACGGACAGTGGCTGTCTGGGACAATCCTGGGTCAAAGCGTTTAAACACTGCGCGGATTCCTGCATGAAGCTGCAAAAACCCGATTAAAAGTTTGTTTTCAAATTTTGTTAGGATTATTTGATAGCTTAGCAGTCGGTCAGTTTTCGTTATCCACCTTACCGACAAATCACTTTCTCGGTTTGAGCTGTCTGGTCAGCCTTGTCATCCGTTATTGGCCATTCAGTCACCATAAGCTGCTGGTTAAGGTCGCCAAGCTTATTTTGCAGTGTTTCGCAACGTATCGCCAAAGCGTCGCATGTTTCATTTACTGGCAATGAAAAACTTCCATTAGTTAAGACAAGGGCACACAGTAGAAACGGTGCTATGTGCATTCTGCTTGTTTTTGACCAGTGCCGACTTCCTTCTTGATTCAGTCCGGAAAGAAGTTTAACTCACAGGTATCTCTTCTACACCGCTTCTATAGCTCTGAACTCCGACTGCAATAGTTTGACCAGAGTTTCCTTTAGTAATGGGTCTAGAGCGTTTTCTGTCCCGGCTTTTAATGGGTACTTTTACTACCCAGTAGAACGATTGCAACGTCGATAAACTTATAATCGCTGCAATCTTTTTTGTGCAACAGGCCTTGCTGATCCGGCGAGTTGATAAAATTCGAAGAAGTTAAAAGTTAATTCGGCTTAGCAAGCGTTAAAGAAAAGCAGCTTTATATTATGCTGAACTCGCGTTTACCGCGACTTTGCATTTTTGCATTAGGTATCCTGATTCACCAAGTAACTGTACGTATGCATGTAGGAATAAACGCATAAATTATTTCTAGATAAGCGGTAGAGTCAGCGCTACCGGAGAAGCCGAATTGCGATTTGAATCATCGGTCACGGATCCCACAAAGTTTAGCCTACCTACCGATTACCCTTTCGATTACTTTTTCCCGAAATATTGTTTTTGTCACCAACCGAAGTTATAACATAATTCCTTGTTGTGAAGCGTGTGTTCGTAAAAATGTATAAAAGTAAACTATATCCCCACGGCCACAGCTTAATTTTATCACAATGAAATTACACAGGGTTAAGCAATGACGCCAAGTCACTACTAAAATGTACATTTCTTCCTTTATTTCTGGCCTAAATATGACGAATAATTTCCTTCAGTCAAACAATAACAGTATGTAATTTGCGTTGCAGCTACTTAATGTGCGGTATTGAAAAAACTACAATGCGATTGTCTGTACGGAATCAGTGCGAGAACAGCGCACACAGTACTGTATTTGCTCACAGTTTGTGCCCAGTACACGTAGCATTTGCCAAATTGTAATAAATTTGTTTTTGTACAGCGAAAACTAGCCACTCCCAATAACTACTTTGACATCGTGCGAAGAAAATAGAGAAACAAATTATTAAGTATTTTGCAGTATTTTTTTACTGCAGCTGTAATAAATGGAAAATTACGAAGAACTCGACGGGTACGATTCCGACGTAGATCCTACTTATCATACAGACACCGAGTCGAATTTCCGATACTAGCCGGCGTACAGTTAAATGACTCTAAGCTACATTATCCAATGCCGCGCGGGAGCATGATTCTGCTTATGATGGTGCAACATTCGGGTTCTGCAATTAATAAATTCATAGCAGCACTGCAGCGTTACAAGCCGGAAACCTTTACTACACTTCTGTAACAGTGTAAAACGCTTTATACCCGTGGCCGCCGCAGATCCCGAAAAAGACATGTACAAATACAGGCTGATCATTTACCACTGGATTCCACCATGGGGAGTATCATGATCAAGGGAAGTAAGTAAGTAAGTAAGTACGTAAGTAATTAAGTAAGGCAAAAAGTAGGTAGGTAAGTAGGAGTACTAGTAAGCGGAAATATACCCTTAGCAATTACTAACTCGGTGGCCGTTCACATTCACCGCGACCTCGTACAAGCGCGAGAAAGCTTTGAGTATGTCAATTGTCAAATGAGCATTTACATGCAAAATTTGAAGGAGATTGGCCCATAATGAGACTTTTGGTACACCTGAATGTATTTAAACTTTTTGAAATTTATTTACCTTGATAACTCCGCAGCCGGATGTTGCGCGCGAAAACGGATTTCACGCCTACGTATACAAGTACGAGTACAAATGCTTTGGCTACAAATTATCATAAACAATGCAAAAACGTGTTTGAGAGTGCGCCACAGCGAAAGTTCCCGTGGATGAACACGAATATGGTGCTATGTACCGGACCAAATCCCTTAAGTCATAAGCTGGCCGAACAGAAATAGCACTGCTTGACGGGGTACTTAAGTATGTATATCCGTGCCAAAGATCAGGTAATGTTGTAAGAGCGATTCGAAAAAGACAAAGTTTTGCAGTTATATTATGCTCATAGTAATAATTTCAATACAGTAAGTAACATTATGCTGATAGCTATACCGTATAATTATGTAAATAAGCACACGCAATAAGCAAAACTTTTCTGTTTTTTTCGTTGATTCTTTGGACACTGTCTTGGATAATGGGATAAGCAATTCTTCCTTTATGGTTTATCTTTAATTTCAACTAACTTTCCACTAACCACAGAAAATAACGCATCGGTCTGAAACTACTGAAAGTGACTGCAGCGACTAACTATGGTCACCCTTTCACCATGTTGAACACATTCTGGCCATTTTGGTCGCATTCTTTGAAATGTATCACGGACAGGATGACAACTTTCCAATTCCTCATGCAACTATTATTGAACAATTTTTTGCGTGCGTTAGCCTTTAGCAGTCCCGCAGCCTGGTTTTGTTCCTCGGTAGCCACATTTTGGCTCGTTAGGAGGCGGGGTATCACGCTTGAACCAAACAATCTTGCGGACGCTCTTGTCCACTGGGTTACGAGCTGGTTCCAAAGTTTTCCGATTGGCCGAATACTCCATTACCGGCTAAAAATACAGAAACACTATCTATAAAATTAAAATCGGCAAGATAGCTTCAGGCGTGCTCTTTAGTATACTTAAATTACCATGTACACGACTGGAATATTGGTTTGTGCATTAATTGGTGGCAATAAGCAAATCATGTTTGAAACTTGAGAAAACACCGCTGTGCCTAATCGTCATTACTGACAGGTCACAGCCTGTCCTAACGAAGAACAAAATTTAATTTTGCTCCCGTCACATAACACCAACACACTCTACCTGAAATATTCCGGTTTTGGAGTCTATTTGGCTAAGCGTCCAGTCGGCATCGCGATCTCCGTTAGCGTTGATGACAATATCTTGGCCTAATATGGTGAATGTACGATTCCACATCAGCTTGCTCAGCGCAGCGCCATCATGCAGATTTCCGCCACTTTTTAGCAGTTGATTTAGTACCTGTAAGCTACAGTATATAAAGGGAGAATGAGGAAACGAGGAAACGTGGCATCGGTGGCATTACCTGGCTGTAAATAGTGAGCGCATAGTAGTAGGATACGGCGAAGGGGTTGATCTGTTCAAGAACAAATTAAAGAAGTGATATCATTTTGCTCCCAGCCAATACACGCTCACGACACAATGCCGAGTATATGTAATTATGGAAGCACACAATACGATTATGTGAAACAATGATAAATATCCTTGCGGACTTACTTCTTCGCCGCGCTGATAGGCAAAATTCAAGTTGAACATTCTGGTATTCAGTTTGACCACATGAGAGAAATTGCGATACTCTGGCGAGGTACTCGCGTTGTGTAGCGAGATCACGAAGAGCGAACTAAAGGCAGTCCGGGCATCCTGATTGACCAAACCAAAATGATCGATAGAAATTGTTACACGTCAATTATAAAACTTAATAAAAAACTCAATTGTAAGAATTATTTATAAATATAATGTAAAACTTAATATAATATAAAATATAAAACTTAATAATATAATATAAAATAAAAAATATATGAGATCAAACTTAATTGTAAAAATTAATTATTACACATCAATCATAAATACTAGATAAATATTATATAAATATTAAATAAATATTAAATAATTAATTATGAATTCGTCAAAATAACATCACAATTCAGTTCTTCCCTACCGCGTCACGTTTATCAGCGTCCCCCGTGTTCCAGGTTATACTCCCAAAATTTTTTTTATCCGGATAAAGCTCGAAGGTAAAATACACCTGCAATCAGGGCAAGCATCCAACGTTTTGGTTGTTTACGCTTGTTTCTGGTTGGCTTGAGAACTTGCTGGATCCGGCCATCGCAGTTCATACGGACAATATAATATGGTAATATACATACTTCTATGATTCTATGTCATGTCTATAAATACAGATATATCGTGTGCTTACATAATCGCCTCCCGTCATCTGGCTGTCCGAGGCTGCCAACTAAGATGACATTAATGCATCGTTACATGATTAGTAATTTATCATGCTGCTGCACCCACTGATTGCGGAATGTTAATTGTTTTACCATGATAGGACGAATACGATCCCCGTGGGCAATGATGATGATAACTGCAAAAAACATAGTCACTCTAACTTAGTGCGCGCAGAAATTGTCAATGCATTACAGAAAATGGCCGCAAGAGGCGTCTTTGTTTGCTTACAGTGTCTGGAATATAAAAATCTGGGTAAGTGTTTTTCCGTGTCAAGTTTTTCGACGTCAAATGCCATTACAAAAAATGAAATTACATTAAAGTATGAGACACTAAATTTGTTTAAAATTTCAGAAATGTATCATCCTGCTGCCGTACGATTTTGTTACCCACCTCGGGTTGTAAACTTCATTTCCTCCAGATAGTGTTTGACATTCTGCGGATCCGTAGACTTCACATAGAACCGGCTCGCACTGGTATTGTAACGTAGCCGAAGACTGTCAAACAGCTTTGTGCACATTGGCCCATATATCGCCAGAGTGTCATTGGCGTCGTCGCACAGAATGCCCACGGTATCGTACTTGAAGTTGCGCAATACGGTAGAAACGAATCGACTGAGATCTTCCGGCATGTACGGAGACATTCTCGTTAGCGTCGGAAAGCGCTTCTTGTTAGCAAGAGCTGCGTCTCCCTCTATGCTAGAAATATGTAAAATGATCATGAAAGTCGGTAAGTTTATTCGCTAATTCAGGGATGTACACAGAAATCATTCGGTACTCCGAATAATTAGGATCCTACCTACCCAATCAGCATCGGGATGTTAGCAGCTGCAAAATATGCACATTACAATGGTGAGCACCATAATACGATTTCCCCTAATAATGCGTAATAATATTGCGAAAATTATTACGTGCATTTTAATTACACTTATCTGTCTAATATTTTGTTTCTTCGTGCGCTATTTGGACTAATATAACACAAACGAAAAGGACACCCCTTGAGGGCCGTGTACATGCCGCCATTACTCGAACTTGCTCTGTACAGCTTATTCCAACCAAAAGTCCTTTGAAATTTTGAAATTATTAACAAATTTGAATGCATTCCCCTTACTTGCCGCTACCTGGGCTACAGCCGCTGCTGATGTCGGACAACCTACAACACACAATTTAAAATTGATGATATGGAAATCATAAAGCGAAACGCCAACTGCACATTACCGGGTCCAAATATTGCCGAAACCGGACTGTTAGCTTTGTCTTGGTCAGTTAAAAGCGTAGCCCAGAACGCGATAGTCTTGTCAAACTGGTCGCAGGTCGTTATGCTGGGATCAGACAACACAGTGGAGCTGAAGTTCATAACCGCCTTGTAGGACGCCAGATCTCCTCTTGCTTGAGCGAATGCGGGATAAGCAAACGTGCTGCTAGTTGGGTTTTTTTCTCCCCATACAAAAAACTGCACCAAAGCGACATCCACGACGGCTGGCGCTGCGCAGCTGGTTACAATGAAAGCAGAAAGAAAAAAGAGAACCGACCTTTCAGCGGGATTCATGGTGTACGAGGTTAAGCGGACCACTTTGACAAGGAACGCCAATAACTGGATTAGCCAGTGGTGATATTAACATCCACTGGAGTCTGCTTATGCAAAAAAAGGCTACGAAAAGAAGCAAAGAAACACACTATGCCTTGCTTTTAAAGAGAAAAAGCAACCCAAAGTGGAATATTTATAATATGACATATCCACAGGCTCAGCTGTCAGTCAGCAGTGTCTGAATGTTCTCGCTATCCGCTTTTGTTGGCACACTGTTTTTCTAGCTCCAGGATCTTCGCTGACAGTGTCTAATCAACCGGTTTCTTCATAATACCTTAGTATTTAGATAGTCTAACATTGTGGACTAACAGAAGCGCATGATACCATCTTTTCTTAATGCAGACGCTACACTGATAAACTTGCAAAAGAGAGTGCAACATCACGATAATGTAATTTGACTGCCATACTATCCAGAATAATACTGCATCATTTTATTTGCAAATTTATCCGAAAATTGCACCATACTTGCTCTGAATGGTATCGAGCCATTAGAATAAAACAAACAGAGTTTCTGCTACTCTTTGGAAGCGAGTTTCGAGATCAACTACCAGATTTGTAGTAATGGCAAAGATGTTCTTTGGTCTAAAGCGTTCCAATATTCTGTAGTCTACTGAGTTAATAAATAAGATTCAGTCATGCATGCTCGCCGTTGGGAACTGCCGTAGGCTTTGTAACCTTGACCTTCCCTCGCATTCCACTCTACGATCACGTGCACGCGGGACGACCCGTTACTGCGATAAATACGGCTGAATCTCTTCTTTACCGCTCACTTCTTCTGTAAAAGTGAGCGGAAAGAAAGATGCCACAAATAAGAATCGATTCAGCTTTAGTACGGACACCTGTGTCATTCAGTCGCGCAGTTACGCCGCAATTTACTTATTTATTTCAGTTTTGCCGAAGCTAACGAGTTTTAGAATAACAAGTACTAATATGCATTATTTCTATACTATGGTTTGGTAACTTCCGTTAAATTTTCAGCCGACAGGTAACCCTTTTGCTGTTGCAGTTTTGTGTTTTTTCTCTAACAGTTCTGTATTGACTATTGAGTATAATTTGACCAATAAAAAGCCGACACGTTTCTGTCGCGAATGCAGGCTAAATGCGGCCTCAAACTCGGTACAAAGCATTATTAGCGCATTGTCATAATTATGCAAACCAAAAGGCCAGAACACATTTTTTATATACTGCTGTGCGACTGTATCAATACTTGTTTTTAAAGAAAACACTAATTTTTAAATAATAAATTACCACCAGAACAAACAAAGTAGTGCTGCCGCCGTTAACGAATTCGAGTAAAATCTGTTCGCTGTGCGACTGTATCAATACTTGTTTTTAAAGAAAACACTAATTTTTAAATAATAAATTACCACCAGAACAAACAAAGTAGTGCTGCCGCCGTTAACGAATTCGAGTAAAATCTGTTCAGACAATTTTATACTTACGTACAATGGTTTTATCAACAAAATTAACACCGTGACAGAGTTCTTTTCAAAATTATATGTATTACTTATTATTACTTTAGAAAAACTAAAAATAACATAACGCGTTCTGTCGTTCGCGTTATTAAACGACGTATGTTGCGATGATACTGTATGTGCCGGTTGCTGGTATTGTATTGTCATACAGTAGAACCAATTAGCCATGCAATACATTAACGCAGGTTGTGACTGCCGATTGACAATATGACAGCGGACAAATGACAAATCCAGGCGTTATTTATTTTATGATTACAGTATTTTACAATTTCTGGCGATCGCGTAACCGATGGGTGCAGTTTCCCGGATTACGGTAACCATGAACCTCTTGGTTAACTACAGTTACTTCTCTACTTCCAAAATCAGATAAATAAAACGTTACAGAAAGCAAAGTACGCCTGCGGATATTTTATTAAGGTTGGGTACCGTCTTGATGGCACCGTCTGATTATTACATTCCTCCAACATACATACATTAAAGGAATTTTATGCAATTCCAGCTACATTAGTTAACAACCACACGGTACAAATAACACAATTAAAATTTACTGCCTAACCGGGAGCTTACCCTGAGCCGTAACTCCCGTACCACTTTATAGACGCCGCGGCTTTTTATCAATATTGTAGTCGGCTGCAGTTACTCTTCGGTATCTGCCAAATTGTGGCACCATACCATCAAGATGCATTTCACCGCTGTCGCTCTTCAGTCCTTGTTAACACTGCTTGTGTTTCAGCAGAGTTTTGGGGCAAGTTCCACTTGCTTGAAGCTGCTGGAAGCATGTCAGTTGGTTGAGCGCTATGCAGACCTGTGGGAAGTCATCGACGATTCCAATGGAGAACCCGTGTGGCCGGTTAGCGAGGAATTCCTTCGTCAAAACACCGAACGAGCCGAATCACGATGCCGGTAAGACAATTTGCATCATCTGATCACTTTGTGTTAGCAATTTACGAAAGATGGACATTGCAGACTGAATGCGGAAAAGGGGTACTGCCGGCTAAGTTACCTACGCCGTTGCGCGCAAGAGGTGAAGGGAAGGGGAGCGCCTAAGGGAAAAGATTACTTCGATGCCGAGTTGAACGCCGCCTACGGGAAAATGTGCCAAGTTTCCGTTAATCCCATCCAACATACATTTGCGCTCTACCAATGCGCCCTGCATAATTCCACGGTGATAGAGCGACTCATGGGCGACGATACGACGGCACTGATCAATGCCACGCATAATACTTCCGATGCACACCGTAACGTCTGCCAGTAAGAATTACAAATATCCAGCAACCTATGGTATTTTTATACGGAGTCATACTTCGGCATTTAAAATTTGAGCAATACTCGTGCGACATTACTTATTATGCACTGTCTGCTTTCAGGGCCTTGCGAATGTATTACGAACAAACCGGAGGAGCCGGCAAAGCGAGTCTAGTTGCCACGTGTGGACAGGACGCTGCCAGTGTCATTACGGACGGCTACAAGAAAATGCATGGTGCCTATTGCTCCAGCTAGCCATTTATTGCTACTTTTCGATTCATACTTTTGTCACTTAACCTGTAATGATTTGGCAACGATCTAAACTGCAGTAACGAACTAAAATGCAATAACAACTTGGAAACAAAGTTTTGATAGGCTGAACTAAGACTGCCATTTTTGACAATTGCAGCACAGTGTGCGTCGTAATCGCTAATGCCGAAAGTTTTTAATTCGAGCTGTTGCTTAAAACTTTAAGTTACAGAGTAGTATTACGATTCCCAGCAAAATTCACTTTTAACTACCGGACTCCCTTCGGAGGAAACTTCATAGCTTTATATACGAATTTCCTCGCAGTTAACTACCCCATCTTTGCAAATAATTTCTACTGACACTATGTAGCTCTATCTTCCTCATATTATTGAATCAGTCCATTTTTCGGTTGCTGTGTTGTTGGATATTGTTGGGTGACCTTGAATCCACATCGCGCAGTAACGGTCTGCTTTATGGATTTCACGAGAGCTTCACGGTAGATTGCATTGAGGGTTAAAAATATAATCTGACAAGAAACAGCCAACGATCCAAACGTGTTCATGCAACTGCATTACTTGTTCATTCATAAATCATAATCACCAGTTAGCTTAATCAAACTGAAACGAAACGAATTCTAATGTTTAACTTCCTAGTCTGTATGATAGCTAAAGTTAAATTAAGGTGACTGCCCTCATACGGATGTAATGTGGTTTACCGGAGATAATGTGAATCCTGATAAGCTGATGTTGCGGACGTATAACTGCAACATAGGATTACTCCGGCGATAGGGGATCGAAGGAATCAACGCTTGTGGTCGGACATGTTCGCTATCAGGAAACTGGAAGCCTTGAGGGAGAACGCCGACGTTATCGCATCTGCTCGCTTGTTGGCTGTCTCCACTAAGGATGCCAGTGCTTGGTTGTCGGCTTTGCCTGTTGCTAGCCTTGGCACGCTCTTAGACGATACTGGACTACGAGTCGCGGTAGCTTTACGTATGGGAGCTCCGATTTGTAAGCAGCACAAGTGTCGATGCGGTGAAACAGTTGACGCCCAAGGTTTGCATGGTTTGTCATGTTTAAAAAGTCAGGGGAGATTCAGGCGTCACGCAAGCTTGAACAGCCTTATTCAGCGCAGCCTGGGATCGGCAAAAGTCCCGACTATTTTGGAGCCTCCTGGACTGTGCAGGTCAAATGGGAAGCGCTCAGACGGTTTGTCTATTTTCCCTTGGAAAAACGGTCTCCCTTTGATTTGGGATGTGACGGTGTGCGACACATTTGCTATTCGTACATCGCCGGCTCATCAAAAGCAGCGGGTTCGGCAGCAGAAGACGCGGAAGAACGAAAGAGGCGCAATTACGAGGAATTGACTGATCGTTATTTTTTCCAACCGGTGTCCTTGGAGACTATGGGAAGTTGCGGCGCCAGTACCCGTCAGTTCATAAATGAAGTTGGTCGACGCATAAAAGATCAAACAGGAGAAGTGCGCGCTGCTGACTTTTTGTGGCAGCGTATTAGTGTTGAAACTCAGCGTGGAAATGCCGCTTCTGTCCTGGGAACTGTTGGTTGTTCAAAAGAGCTTGAAGAGTTGTTTTATTTGTTCTAGCTATTCGATAGTTGAGTTTAAGTGTAAATGGCATTTGCTTGTACAAGTTTAAAATAAAGCTTCTGTTATTACTCCGGTATGCCGGTAATTGGAATGCACCCAAGACAATCAGCGGATACAAACACGCCAGATTCCACATGGAAAACCAGCAGAGCACAAATGCGCCCTGACGGCGCCGTTGCAGGGTCTTATCAAAGACGTTCTCGGAATTTTGTGGATTACACCTCTTTGGTGCGTAGGCGATTTTGACCAGGATAATGACGTACATAATCAACTGGGCCGCATTCGGGCCGTGGGTGGCGGTGGAGACAATCACCGCGTAGAACGATGCCCATGGTGCTTTGGGATTTGTGTGGAACCCACATCCCTTCCATGGTTGCGAGAGATCGTACGAACCGCCGGCTCCGCAGAGGAGAGGTGTGTATACTGCAAGGCTCAGGAGCCATGGTGCACTGACCTTGGTAAATAAAAGTAGCATAACTGCTTCCATGTAAGACATAATCATGCACGATTCTACAGCGTTTTAATTTGGCTCTAATTAGGGAAACGCTAGCTCTCGCATCTTGCTTGGTGGTTACTGTCCGTGGCCCTCTGCGGTGCCTATATGACCGGAGGTCAAAACTTTTTTGCCCGCTGCTGATTTGGAAACCGGTACTGGATCAGAATCGCTTGCTGATTAGTAATGGTGGTGGTTCACTATTAGTAATGGTGGTGGTTCACTCTCATCATATGCATCACAGTTATTAGAATTGCCCTCCACTGCAGAGGGAAAATTATCTTATTTTAATTTCTTCAAAAAAGAAAGTTCTGTCAATTTGTTGGTAAGACGGTATAAAAGGCAACTTTGTTCAAGTTGGTTAATCAGCTTGTACGCTTCTGTAAATTTTTAAGACCCCTATGAGCCCTATCTAGTTTAAGTAGTTTATCTATTTTAAGACCCCTAGTATCTGATGTGCAGGTCGGCTGCCCTTGAGTATTCGGCTTTGACGCCGCGATTACGGCGCCGAAGCATGTTCAGCATGCTAGTGCTTTATTCTTTCTTACATCCTGAATACACTTGAAATTAGTTTTTTCGGCGCAATTTTAACTGGTGTCGTTTTCTTTGCAGTCTTGCTTCAATCGGAAAATTAGTTTACAAAATAAGCATGCGCAGTACACCAAGTTTATTCTGCATTTTTCGTTGGTTTCTTTATGTTGGCTTGGACAATGGGATTAGTTAGCCTTTCTTGCTTTATGCTTCGTCGTTTTATTTTAAACGGCTTCCATTAACCACAAAAAACAGCGCATCCGCATGAAGCTTTGCAGTTACGGGGAAATTTTGAGTCGACCACCTTTAGTACTCCAGTAAAGCAACCGCTAAAACGATCACCCCTTCACCATGCCGAAAGAAATTCCGGTCGTATTGGTTGCGTTACTCTTATTTTTACCGTGGATATGGTGGTGAGTTGCACCATAGTGGTATATCCAGAACATCATTCAACTGTTATCAAACAGTTTTTGCATGTGTTAGCCTTTACCAGCTCCGCAGCCTGGCTTCGTTCCGCGGTAGCCGCATTTTGGTTCCGTTAGGCGGCGGACTATCACGCTTGAACCAAGCAATCTTGCGAACGCTCTGGTCCACTGGGTCACGAGCGGGTTCCAAAGTTTTCCGGTTTGCAGAATACTCCATTACCCGCTGAAAGCAACAGATTACAAGCTTTAAAAAGTAAAATATGCAAGCTGGCTCTCAAACTTTCTCCGATTATATTACGTGTGTACAGACATTTGCCTATATACACTTCAAAAATTAACTTATGTACAGTGTATTCTATGGTTAACAAATGGAGGTTATGTTTGTAACTTGGGAAAGCACTGTGCTGCGCATAATCGGTATTTATTGGAATTCGAACTATTCACAGCCTGTCTGGTTGAAAAGCAAAATTCTATCAGTTGTGGTTGTTTAACATCACCATACTGCACTTGAAATATCCCGGTTTTGGAATCCATTTGGTTAAGCGTCCAGTCGGCATCGCGATCACCATTAGCGTTGATGACGATATATTGGCCCAATATAATGAATGTACGATTCCACATCAGCTTGCTCACCGCGGCGCCATCTTGAAGATTTCCGCCACTTTTTCGCAGTTGATTTAGCGCCTATGGGCAAAATTACATAAGAACAGAAATTTGCAACTAATCTACAGTACAACAAACTACATTTCGTGCAGTGCTTATACTGTGTATAATGTCTGATCGGCGGATTAAAAGCAACCTAAGAACGTTTTGTGCATTCAAACAGCCCAAAAATTCGGGCCTATTTCATCCTACCGCCAGAAAAAGCGTCCGTTGGACAAAAAAATGGATGCGATTGCTTTATTTGGAACACCTGTATGGCAAACTCTGTACAGTCAAAACACAGGACAGTCAAACATTCGGCAAGTGTGATTTTTAATTCTAGTTTTCGTGCAGAATTCTGGAAACACCGTTAATCCTCTGTGCGTATTTGCCGTCGAGATGAACCTTTTACATCGAACTTGTGTTCTCCTGATTGTTGTATTGGTCATGGTAAGCTCTTCAGCGAGCTGTTGAACCCCGATTAAGCGTTAAGCGTGCTCTGGCACGGTCTACAGTACATATAGAAGTATTCACTGTACGGTGGTAAAATTTAATTTTCTACCATTCAGTACTTTTAACTGTTTAAATTATCCAAACGGAATCGGCCACAAATAAGGACAGCGGAAAAAGAAATGTAAGCAGTAAGGACCACGATTTTCACTAGCGCAGCTTGCTGTCAACTGTAAATTCTGCTTGTGTTGCCAGGATCCAAAAACCGATGATGCGAGTACGCTCGCGAAGGCCGTTGAAGAATTTGCGAAAGGGAAAAGCCAACGGGAAGTGGCCGGAAAGGTGGAAATTAGCTGGAAATTAGCCCAGATACTGTCTTGAAATTTGTAAAGGAGGCGAAAAAACATTGCAAGTGATTGCTAATTTGCTCTCCACCAAGTGGTTCGGAACCCGGACTACAATGCTGTGTGGGACATTCCGAGCGGCTCTCAGTGTAGATAACGTTATAATCATCCTTCTTTGCCTTAATGCACGGTTGAAGCACCTAACAATTGGGCAGATGTCTTTGCGCTGCTGCTTATTTGAACATTTTTAATACTTGTACCATGTTTGTTTTCCTCTCTGTCTTGTGGCTGTTTTTTTCGCTTGCCAAGTATTATTGGGCATATAAAGTACATGGTGTAAATAATTTAAAGCTGCTCGCAGTCTGTATTTCTTTGAATGACAGAAATTTATATGATTTAGACATTTAAAAAAAGAAGTATAGATGCTATAGATAGCGAGTTGTAAATCAGCACAGTGTTTACAAATTCCGGCGGTTTTGCAGTCTTCGTCCGCAGACGGCAGTTTCAACGATCGAGTGCAACAGCAGTCAATTATTGTCAATATAATACAAGCCGAGCACCGATGAATATTGGCTGATGACTGTTAGAAATAAGTACTTCCAACGATGTGTTGCCTTGCGGTTCTTTACACATTGCCATAATATTTATACAATATTACTAAATCCGTGCGTGCGTTTATTACGAGTACATAAGTTGCAGTTCCTGCTGATGACTACGTAGTCTAATGGCGTTTTAACATGAATTTTACTTCCTTGTATATATTTGGTGACCACTCCGTACACACCCTTTCACACCCTTTCACTCCGTACACAACCTTTTGCACTCCCTTTCATTCCGTGCACAACCTTTTTGCGCTACCTTTCATTCCGTGCACAACCTTTTAATTTATTTAATTTTTCACAGCAGAGTTATTTCTGGAATTAAAAAAACGCACAATCTCGACCGCTTTTTATTTTTAACAGCAACGTTTTTCAGCAACCAGGACATCTTCGTCGGAACGGTCCCATGATGTTGCAAAAAAGTAGAAATATTTTTTTTGTAGTTCTGCTTTTCTGTAGTAATATAGATTACAAGTATTTAAGTATAATATATATAAATATATATAAAAGTTTGGTAGTGCACCGAGTGAATGGTAGTGCGCAAAAAGGTTGTGCACGGAATGAAAGGGAGTGCAAAAGGTTGTGTACGGAGTGAAAGGGTGTGAAAGGGTGTGTACGGAGTGGCCACCTATATATTTTAATCGTATATATTTTAAGGTAGGAGCACATACTACATTTCTACTGTTCTGGTGCAAGTTGTGATAGCACAGCATGTGTGTATTCATTTCTTATCGCGTCCATGGTCACAAGCTTATGATTGACCACTGGACCTAGCCAAATGATTTTAGCAAGAAGTCAACAATCTATGATCCACCACCACACTGAGAAAATTCTGATGTACTTTAAAGCAGCGAAATTGGTTAAGTAGAAGCCGAGATTCTTTGCCTCAAAGGAGAAGGGTCGAAGTCCTGGCACAGATATTATTATAATTAGTATTCATATAATTACCACGCTCAGTAATTACAGCACTCGTACTTTTCACGACGATGCTCTATTGAGAACTTTCTAAAAGAAAGTTACTACTGCTACACCGTATTCTTGCAGTATCCGGTTTCCAGTTTCCCATCTTGTCAGCTAATTACCTGCGTAATGCCTAAAAATGTGAAAGTTATGTTCCATCCACGTTTACATAATAAATTTAATGTTTGCAGCACACTTTAGTACCAAGTATAACGTACTATAATAACCCCATAGGCTATCATGAATCTTCAACCGCATCTGTGATGAATCTTCTCACTTGTTTCCAATAAAAACAAATTCATATCCTTAATTTTTGTGTTTTTAATCCATCTGCCAGCGTAACTTTACTTCCGATTATCATGACCAATACCAGCACCAAGATCGTCAACTGATTATGTTTTTGTTTCAGACGGTATGAACTCTCAAGTAAAACGTATTAAAAAACGATATTTTTCCGCAATAGCCAGCAATCATAATTTCATTTAGGTAGGTCAAGAGACATAATCGCCCCACACCGGTAATGACAGAAAATCGATATCCCCGGAGATCATCTGCCCGTGAGCGCGTAACCCGGCTTGGGAAAACAGATGTGCACAGCCGGCAGCACTGACTGGATTATAGGTAATCAATGAAAACAATTACTCGAACACACCGTTACATTGTGCTCTGTCCTTGCGAACCACTACCGGCACAGCCCGACGGCACACGCACGCAGGCGCGCGTTCTTTGCTCCAGCCAAAGGAAAAACACAATTCGATCCAACCTGGACACAATACCAGGTCGAGCAAGAAAGAAAAAGAGACTGCAAGAAGGAGGCGCTCCCCAAGCGGATGAGGCGAAACAGTACGTATTAGGCACGGTTAACTGGCGCAAATCGAATCGCTTATATCATACAAAATTATTAAAATCGAAGACACAGTTACGGAATTACCAGACAGATATATGAACGCAATGGCATACTTTACAATGAAGGAAATTAATAAAACAATGAAAACGCTAATAAAAATTATCGTGATAAAATTGATTGACACGGCATTATTGCTGTGGAAGCCAAAGGTCACTCAAACGCGTAATGAACTGCAGGAAAACGATGAAACAACCATTTAAAACGTGCGATTGGATTCGAAGCTCCACCGGACCGCCGCCACGGTGGGTATGGGCGGGGCCGTTGTAGTGGTTCGCACGGTGACCGTCGGGTACGTATTAGTATATTGGAAGTAACCCGGTGGGAAGTACTGTAACTCCTCAATACCGAAGGCACTAATCATGATATTTAAAATCAAAAGAATTACGGCAATGCCCAGGAGCGCATTGTTCAGCAGTTCACAGCGGGCCCGCTGATCCTCCTGCAGGACATTGTAGCGACCGACAAAGAACAGGATAATACCAGCAGCGATCTCCAGCAGGATGCTGGTGATGAGCAGCCCCAGAACGGTATTGTAGAAGGGATACAGTGGATTAACGCGCATCAAGGATTTCAGTTGCCCTGCGGTGGAGGTCAGTAAAGTGATGGTTAGCAAAGCCGTTATGACGGTTTTCTTGGTGGCGTACGCGTTGGCGCCTTTAAACCACAGAGGATCCTTCATCGGGGCGATCACGGTGCCAACTACGCCCTGTTGAATCGGTACATTGTTATGTTTTTGTATCAGATAAATGTAGAACACGCTGCATAAATGAGTCCAAATACCGGTCATCGGATTTACAGCTTTACAACGGGGTGTACACGTACAAAAGGAAACGGAAGTACATGCAAGGCAGTACCAATAGATGTATACATATACTGTACGAGGCCAATTGTAATGGCTGGAACAAAACGGGTACCTACTAAGCAAGGCCTAAACAGCAAACAAATTTTTTCCTGTACACTAAATTTTAATCCCAGTTTTTTAATATTAAGTAAGCAAATCAAAAATCCATGAAAATAGTATTCAGAATCATGAAAAGCCGGGACATCATTTTGGTTTCTCAAAAATACCTAAAGGAGTACTGGTTTTCACAGGCCTGCTAATATTAATGTTGTTTACGTTTGCTAATGAGGATATAAATCATTATTAATTTACTGCAGTTAAATCGGATTTGTCGTTTTTTAATTTTTTTGCTGATTTATACAATAAGATTTCCAGTTTCATAACACATTTTATTTGTTCAATAATGGACAAATTCGCCAAACATAGTTCAAAACAGTACATAATGGAGGATGTTTATTTTTCACTGTTTTTATGTTCTACTGATGTGACAGTCCATAGAAAGAATGCTCATAAAGATGACATAAGTATACTGTATCAAATATTTATGCATACCAACTACGAGCCTACGACTGCTTCGAAAAGAAATATGCTATGGTTTCGTTGACACGGTTCTCACAGAAAACAGTAATTATTATTAGCTGGCTCTATAATCGGATTGATGATAGCGTGCCCTTTGTAAATACGTCAAGTATCTGCAAGGTGTGCTTCGGGCCAGGATTGTAAGTAATGAGCTCTTCGATCGATTAAGCGAGTTGCTCACGAAAAATGCTCTATTTCCACAAGTTCACCAGGTTAACCGATCGATGATAAACTAGCGCTTATGTTATCGCAGGATATCCAAAATTTGTTAAATCCAAAAATGTTTCATTAATTTCATGTGCTTAGCGCTACAGCGTTTAGAAATTTATCGAGCGAAAAATTGCTCACAGAAAAGTTTAGTCTTCAGCAAAACGAGCACGATGCGAGAATATTTCGAACCTACAAAATTACGAATATCTATTATATCTGGCAAAAATTTACGGCAGTGGTAGGTAGTCCTTACCGTGACAACTCCAGCGACCCCGTTTTTATGCTGACTATTGTAGATATTCTGCATATTTGACACTCGATGGCCTGCCCCATTAGCTTCCGTATGTATCCTGACTTCCGCCGGATCCCCTTCATCACTGGGTGTAATACTAGAATGAATAAATCAGTCCACTTCATATTAATGTCCATGCATTTACCACACAGCTGTCCCGCGTACCTCATTTTTCACACGAGATTCTTCGACAAGTACGTAATATGCTGATAATATCAACAGAAAAAATCCTTGGAAAAATTATAGAGACAGGATTTGATGTACTGTCGGTGGGAAAACACAATCCGGTTGCTAAGCTGATGGAGAAGTGAGCAAACACGATGTTGAGTAAAGGTACAGCAGTGACTGTGCTGTGCTGAACCGGTTGCGGCAGTCAATAGGCAGGTACCGTAATACGATTGCGTTAAAGATTGGGATACCGGTGAGTGCAGGGTCTGTAATGCGCGTGTCAACACATCACTTCAGCATCTGTACAGCCACTGCTCGTCAGGTGAGGGATTAGCGGGAACCGGAACCGCAGCATGCTGGATCACGAGCACAGCTACCGTAGACGCGGTCGATTGTTTGTTCAGATATCTGGTACATTGTACGGTACATGCATACAAATCTTATTATTTTCTCGATCATCCTCATAATACAATTGTATTTCACATGCTTACGAAACAGTAAATAAGTAAGTGAAATAAGCGAAGGACCAGGTGAATAACAATATGGATGAAATTAAGTAATGTGCTGATATGATAACTTGTGGTACAAATTAACGTAAATTCGAGATTTAGATAAGAAACATTCGTTCTTCCCGATTTAGTTAAGTATATACAACATGTACCAGATGCCCGCAACGTACAAATGAAGATGGCCTTGCTCTAAGTAGGCAAATGTCATACCGATATTTCCTTCACGTTGCAGCTAATGTACCGTATAAAAATTTAATGGTGCCATGCAATATGTACCCAACTACGGCTGTGAATATTGTTTAGCACAACGGCGGTCGCCAGTCAGTATATCTATGTATATTAATTATGTGGCATAAGAGTTAATTACTTGGCAATATTAATATTGGCAACATGCTTTAACAGTGAAGAGTAAATGTCTATTACGAACATAAATTACCAGTTATACGTATGTTAATAAAACTCATATTTATCATAAATATGAGTTTTAATAAAATACGTATAACTGGTGCAAAAGGTGGTGAGAGGTGTTGAAGTGGAATTACGGTATTAATGTCAAACTAAAGAATTCTCGTGCTTCTCCATCCATTGTGAATGATTACATTCTTTCGGAAATTTTTTGTTTTAATTTCTTTCTGGATGCTACTAACAGATGATGATGTAGATCTCGAATTGTGCAGTGACAAGAAATATACACATCCAAAACTTCCTTGGGCAGCAAGTCAGCCAGGCAGAGCATGATAGTTGCGAAAGACGGTCTCATCTCGGGAAAAACATAATATGGCTTCCGAGATTTTTTGTGACACACGTACCTATTTGGAAATCCAGCCTAATCTCATCCAGAAGTACGGTTGCATCATTACGCAATAAGTAAGCAGCAAAGATTAGTCGGCAGGGTTCGATAGATATTATCTGCTTTTCAAGTTGGATTTCCACCGCTGCCCATTCCCTGGTATCCGTATGTTTGCTTGACCACACTAATTCATGCGCTTGAACGCTTTTGTCGGTTACATGATATACGTAGCTCCATATGGGTTGTTACGGGGCTACTCAAACTAATAGCAAACTATAAAAAAACAATATTCACCAATATATTTCGAACACTCCCCTATATGGGCCCCTTATACAACGCGGTTTAACATTTGAGTTCCCGGCAAGCCCCAGGAAAAAACTAATTTCAGAAATGCTTAAGTACCGCGTCGGACGTATCCTACGATTGCTACTGTTAAAACAGCTTTCCACTGTTCCCTAAGTGGCTTCATACTGGCAGTCTGGCACTAACAAGGTAGGAAAAACCGGAATGGTCCAACTTGCACGGAGCAGCAATGGCTCATACGGCGCAGCTGACCAACCGCAGATCTCGCACTGTATGAACAGTTACGGCCGTTAATTTACTGATTTACAGATACACAAAAATGTTTAAGATTCTCAATCTAATGATGGGACCGCATTCCTTTGAATAGTATTACGTGTATCGTCGACGTTATAAATACATGGGTATATCTGTATGATACTATTACTAGCTGTCCGTATGTAGCCGGCAGAAAGGTTGACAGGCTCACGGCTCACGAATCAAACTTTTTTGCCGGCAGAAAGGTTTGTTAACTTTTTTGACGGGCAAAATGGCTCACGGTTGGTAAATATACGTGTTACGAGGGACGTAGCCTAGGTCTATTGCAAGGAGCCATTGATAACCATTAACCGATGATTTCGACTTATCTTTAAGATAGTCTTTCAAATATAAAAACAGTCCGTTCTCCAGTTCTTGACGACTTCTTGCAGTAGTGCGAACCCATTTTTCGCAAAAATTATTGATAACGCAAATTTATGTAAACGATCACTATTGTATATTTGAAATCGGAGTAGAAGTCAGATAAGGGAGACCGTTTAAGGCATTACACACAACATAGCAAGTATCGAAAAATAACTCTTTAACGCAAGACAAAATACCCCTTTTTGGATCACTTTAGTTAACCCCATTCACCTACTTTAGAAAATCTTAACACGATAAATACACAACTAGCTTCAAACACAAAAAATCTTTAATTTGTGACTTGTATGTCATACAACTCACAAAATAAAGATTTTTTTTCAAATCGTGTTAAGATTTTCCTTTCGTGGTCACGAAACTCTTTGCAGATTCCTTGTAAATCTAACCATAAATGTTCGACTACACTACTGCACTCGCTTACGGGGATGAATGTATCAGAAATTGGATATTAGTTCAGAATCGCCTTTAAACATCTGTAGATCAGAAGCGGCTATTACTGTCTGCCTGTGTTTTGTCAGTCCAGTACGGTCGCAAAATTGTCAGGCATGCTGTTCGAAACTAATATGAAAAAACACAGTTGTTGTTTGTTTTTGTTTTTCTTTGATATGTTGTTTGTTTGTTTGTTTGTTTTATATGTTGTTTGACATTAACTTTGTGAACCTTCGTGCCGGGCAGTATGGCTCACGATGGTGACCCTAGGTGCCGGGCAAGATGGCTCACGTTCGTGAGCCATCTTGCCCGGCAAAATGGCTCGCGATTGCATGCGATGTTTGTGTTATCTCTACACGAACACTGAGCCAAGAGCATAAAACTGGATTTCAGTATTATGGTAATTATTTTCATCTTTATTGCAGCGTTGCGAAAAACACCTACAGCACACTTATGACATTAAGGGTGGTTTCAGAATCGAAACGAATCTAGTTACAATACAGCAGCTGACCGCGAGGTGGATTATCGTACTGTATCTGTGGGCGCGGTCACTTCATACTGCCACCTCGCGCTCTTAATGTTACAAGTGAGTTGCACAGCAGCATGTACGAACCTTTATGAGTGTGAGCCTGTGTGCCGGGCAGGATAGCTCACGTTCGTGGGCCAGTACACCGGGCAGAATTGCTCACGTATAAGGATTACACTATCCAAACCGAATGAAGAAACTCACTATTCAATAATTGCGGCAACGTAATAACTGGGAGATATGGATGACTATGTAAATGTTGTTGTTGTTGCAGGCATGTTGTTTTACTTGTATCCCCAGTACCCCACCGTATCTCTAGCTGTACATCATCGCCTCATGTATGATAAGCCCCAAAGCAGTAACGGTTGCTGCGAGATAAATAATTACCATAAGATTGAAATTAGGGCTGTTAACGGTGTGATTCTGCACCGGTGCATCGGTGAAATTTGAGAAAGTCGCGGTTGAATCTCGGGGGAAAATTCACGTAGTCGGTGAAATTTTTGGGAAAAAAACTGCACCGACATCCACCGGTGTAAGGAAAAAATTACACCGTTCGAAACCGGTGAAATCACCGGTGCACCGGTGCCAAAATTACTGGGAAAACATAACAAAAATGTAAAGAACGAATAATATTTGGTGAAACTCCTCAGATTTTTGAGTTGTTTTGGACTACTTTTCCGCTTGGGTGCATATGATGAGTGAAGAAATCACTGTTTTAGGTGTCGTTTTTCGTTAGTTTTGGAGAAAACAACTTGTTTTACTTAACTTTTTTTTTTAACGTGTTAGCCATTTCACCATACTTTAACGTAAACCGGTGGACACTGGACGCCGAGGTGCACCGGTGCGGTGCGGTGGAAAACACCGCGCTGCAATTTTATAAACCGCACCGCACCGGCGGTGAAAATTTTAGAAAATCACCACCAGAGTCGGTGCAATTTTAGTGAGAAATCGCACCGCACCGAATTGCACCGTTACCAACCCTAATTGAAATCCAGTTTTGTGCTCTCAGCTCAGCTGAGCTGAGAGCACAAACACTGCAGTGTTCGTGTGGAGATACCACAAACTTCGCATGCAATCGTGAGCCATTTTGCCGGGCAAGATGGCTCACGAACGTGAGCCATCCTGCCCGGCACGCAAGTTTACAGAGTTATTGTCAAACAGCCTGCCTGACAACCTTGTGACCGTACTGGACTGACAAAACACAGGCAGACAGTAATAGCGGCATCTGATCTACAGATATTTAAATGTGATTCTAATCCAAATATCCAATTTCTGATACATTTATCCCCATAAGCGAGTTCGGTAGTCGAACATTTATGATTAGACAGTTTAGATTTACATTAACCCAATCTTATAACTCAACCCAATCAGAAAAATCATAAAACAAAAGGTTTTGTGTGTTTAAAGTGTTTTTGAAGCTTTGCACATTTATCGTGTCAAGATTTTCCTTAGAAAGGTGACTCGGATTAATAAAATGACATTTTGTCTTGCAGTTAAAAATTATTTTCGATACTTGCTGAGGTCTGTATGATTCCTTGAGCGGTCTTGCTTATGTGACTTCTATTCGGATTTCAAATTGACAACTAGTGATCGTTTCCATAGAGTTTGCGTCGTCAATAATTTTGCGACAACTGGGTTCGCACTTCGCACTACCAGAAGTACTGGATAACGGCCTGCTCTTAAATTCAACACGCTACCTTAAAGATTAAGTCGAAAAATCGGTTAATGGTTGTTAATGGTTATCACAGATTAATTGCAACAGTCCTAGGCATCGGCTCTCGTAACACTTATGTTTGCCAACCATGAGCCATTTTGCCCGTCAAAAAAGTTAACAAACCTTTTTGCCGGCAAAAAGGTTTGATTCGTGAGCCGTGAGCCTGTCAACCTTTCTGCCGGCTACATCTGTACGTTTCTGTTTGTAT